AGCTACAAATTACACTACCAAGTACACTACCAATTTTAACGATAGGGTAACGTATTTATAAAATCAATGTATCTACCATCCAATAACAATAGCTTTTGAAGTATTATTATTTCAATGAAAACCATAAATAATGATGGTTAATCAAATAGTATAACAGAATAAGTTTGTCAGTGTGTAATCATTATGACCATTCCTCATTTTTATGATAAACGTATCAGCAAATGCAACGCTGACGATTATTATTGTGACATGTTGTATCTACATAGTCACGGCAATACTAATTGAATAAACATTGGCTACTGGGATATTACGAGTATAATATAAATTTCGATATTTCTTATTAACCAAATTAATATCGGTGTTAAAATTTACCAATCAAACAATGCGATCCATTTTTTTCGATATATATGAAAATAAGAATAACCAATAATTGTTAATGAAGGTTTTAACATTTTATAAATAGCCTCTGTTTATTCGTGGCAATGAATAGAAGGGAAACTCGATAAACATCAGTAGTTAGGTAACTCGGTAATTTCGCCGTGTCGCCGGTGTCAGTTAACCGTAACAGCCTACAACTAAAATTTTATGAAGTCGAATATCGCTAACCCCATATTGCTTTTTTTCGTTGGCTTCCCGTGTTATTTAGGCTCTTTGCCACTTCGACTATACACCGTCCTACTAATGTCCATTATTATTGTCCGACTCTCATTCCACTGAAATTCCTTTCCGCAGTTCTCGATCACCGTCCGTCATATGTAATGTTTTAATAATTTGCCTCACGAATGTAACGACTTGACGAACAAAACGGCGTTTACCCATAACTATATAACATATCTCAAAAAGCGCATAACATTCGCCACAGGACTGATAACAACCAACGCTTTATAACGGATAAAGTTATAAACATTCATAAATGATTTAGACACCGATGACAAGCGCTGAAATGACTGCAGAGTAACAATACTACACGAGAACGTGAGAATTTGGAGAAAACATAAGCTTTAATGTCTATTCAATCGTTCCGTAAATATAGTATATACTCGTAAGCATAAATAACATCTGAGCATCCGCATTTGTCTAAAAGTATCCGTGCATACAGCGGCGGCGTGTAATCGAATTCCTCGGTGGCCGTCCTCCGCAGTCAATTTTCGTCGAAATTCTGACGGCATCAACAACAACGGCGACGATGATGATGGCAGTTTTCTCCGATTATTGCCTGACGCGGCGCCCACGTTCTACGCTCCTCGACCCGCGACCGTACAGCGAACAGACGTTTGAAGTTTTAGGTAATTGGATTTCGCTTTTCGCTGAAATTCGTTCGTACGGCAACTCGTATGCAGAGGGCACGCCAACCCGCTGCCGACCGTCGCTCTATCGTTGTACCCCGATTGATTCGCATTGTTACGAAATCGCAATTGAATTACACGTGTAACTCGCACGGTGGCGACACCCACCTCAATGCGTGTTCATAATCGCATATGCTGTCGAGACACAATATTCCGTGAACGCGTCCGCCGAGATCCTCGTGTATGTTACCGCGTATTATAATGATGTTAACTGTCGCGCCTAACAACAATCCGAGCAAACGATATCGTGGACGTATTTGTAAACTTCACGGTCGATCGTTAGATGCTCCCATCCGAGAGATGAAACTCGGTTATCGTCCCCAACCGATGACAAATAAATCCAAGTTATTTTCTTTGCCGTCAATAGTTTTTTCAATATTTTCAGAACCTAAGCTTTATAACAACTCAGTGATTCCTTTTACACAATGCATCCATCACTCGTAGATAACAAATAAACTTTCGTCGGATTTACTGCTGAATATAACCATTCATTTCCAGTACTTTTGTTGCTAAACAAAGTTTATTTGGATTTAGGATGACAACATAATGGACTTCTTAATTCTGTGAACCCTGCAGACATGTCTCCGTTAATCCAAACATGACTGCGGTCAAACGCGTTCCGTACTTTATTGCGTTTCCCGGACCGTTCGCCCTGTTAGCATGGTGTGAACTATATTTACGACGCGATTTTTTTTTTTTAACACGCTGGTAACAAAATAAAAATAAAAAAATAAATAATCACCGATATTTATTTTGACGCGTATACTTATTTCAAATATTCGACGAAAATCAACGAACATGCATAGTGGTTAAATATCAATGATAATCAACTAAATAACCATGACTATACGAATCCACAGTTCGATTTAGTTTGATTTTATTGAAAAAATAATGAAAAAACAGTTTATTTTAATTGGCCTCAAGTCGTAATGATACAGTAAAAATAATCCAAGAATTTTAATTAGTTTTTTTATAACGACCATTATACATATAATATATTACATGAAGAATATAAAAAAAAGAGTAAATAAAAAACACAATAAACTAGTAAAATAATTAAACAGCACCAAAATAAATATAAAATAATATATTTGCGTAAGAATTAATAATATACCTAGTAGATAATAAACATTTTAAGTTGTGGTAACTTGGAATATTCCGTTAATTTTTTCAATATATCCCGTTTGAAATGCAGCCCTGGTTTTTTTATTTTTCGAACGTACATTTAACAAACAATCCGGCCTAGTCCCAAAAATTACAGACAATGCAATTATATTTTATTCGTACAAACTTGTTTCATGCGCTGTATTTACCACCTCGTATGCACGTAACACTAACAAATTATTATCTCATTAATTAGTGGATTTCACAAACAAAGCACGACAATATTAACGTTAACATTTTGACACTTTAGCGTCACATTATATTAATAAGCAAAATAATCACTGCTACTACTGGTGACAACTGACATCACTAAAATCAGCACTGTATAGTATAATAGACACTGTAGGCATCATCGCGCAATACCCAACTTAACTTTCTGAAAATTTTTTAACTTTTCGAACTTCTTATCAATAGTTTCTATTTTACATGATATTTACATCTTAACCATCATTGTCAGCTACCATCGCAATTTTTTACACAGCAGTGCACATATATTCAACGTACGACATCAATGTGCGTGAATTTCTGATTACAGTACATTTGAAATAATATTGTAATTAGTATTAGGTACTGTTCATATGAGGTAGGTGTACAATAAAGTATGACGTTAATAAAACAATGGTTCGTAGAATTAATATATTTAACTGCGTGTAATTGTTTCGAAGTGAGAACAATAAACGCACAACGTACATGGTCGTACCGAATTACTATAGGTAACCGACGCAGATGTGAAGAGGATTGATCGTACGTACGCCATTCCATTTGCTACAATAAAATATTAAATAAACACGTCGCGGAGCTGTGCACTCGTCGTCTAAACAATAATAACGGTAATAATAATCCATTCCACCTAACCTATTATGATCACGTCCGACGTAAGACTCATCCTCGTTCATGGCCGGTTAAATGACTGCGTAAACAGCATTCCGCTGGTACAATAATACTGTACCTATATATGATATTATCATCATTACATCGAACAAATACAACGGGTTTGAGACACAACGGCAACACATGACTGCTGTTGTCGCTGGTGATGATACCACAACACACCAAAAACGAGCTTGTCTAAACGTTTACTTCGACTTTGGTGGTCCACATCGATGGCGACGGCGCCAGTGGTGCTAAGATGGTGCTGTAAGTACCGAAGGTAAACTAACCATGTCGATAATTACTATTCTGTTCTCCCGGAACGCGCGTTTTAATCGAATAATTAACATAGCGGTAATTATGACCTAAAGCGCACTGCGGTTCTGTTATCATGGTAATAATAATAATAATAATATGACAGTAGTGATTGTGGCCGCGCGCAGTTCACGTGGCATTTATTAACTCTATTCTTGGTGGTAATGCGGCGGAAAACCGTGTGCGAGACATCATACACGCGAACATCGTGTACATCGTGCGGTACAGCGATGCACATTGAGATCGCACCGCAGTACGGTACAACGGAGCTTAACGTCGACGGTGTAGAAGTGTTTTTCACCGCCTGCCACCGCTGCAGCCACGTCGCCGCCGTCGCGAACACGTATGAACGAGCGCTTGCGCCGTGAAAAATCGTATAATATACGTTGATATGTGATCGCGCGTAACGTACGAACTTCCGAACGGCGAAACGTGTTTCGGTAGATCGCACCCGTTCATTCATTCGATCGGCGGCGTAGACGGTAACCGTCGCGCCGCCGCCAGGCAACGTGTTGCGCCGCCATGCTCCCCGTGGAACTGACTTTGCATTGCGATCGCTGAACACGTCCTATACCCGATTTACGTGTTTAAAGGCTCTGTCGATGTACCCCCAAAAACGTATTCGTACATACCGTTCAGTCGTATACTCGGATGGAGTCGGAGGGTGAATTTACTTGTTTGCGTATATATTTAAAAAAAAAAAAAAAACGGAGGATGACAAAAATAAAATTTTGATAGAATTTATTTTAATAAACCATTTCGTTTGACGATTCTGGCAACGTTACTAAATAAATCGCGGAGAAATTAGATTTCGGTGATAGCCAAAGGTGAGATGCTTAAGCTCGTGTTTGTCGCTAAACAGTGGTGTAAATAGAATAGTTTAAAAATGTTGACTCGTCGATGAAAATATGGTGATCGAAAACCGGCGCAGGGAATTTTATTATTACACGCGTAAAATAGACAGACAACGCGGTAGCAACGATTCGCGGTACCGGCACATTCCACATAAGCTACTCCTCACCTGCCACCGCCCACACCACACACGACATATACGCCAACAGCCACGGTGTTAGACGTGGTGGCGACGAAGACGTGTCTACCAACATGGCCCCACCCCGCCGCACCCTACTCGTATACTATATATATATATATATACTCCCATTGAATTAATAGCCAAATAATATATTATACATATATGGTTGCTAATTTTTACTACGAGTGTAATCGCCGTCGCCACAAACAGTATAATAACAATAATAATAATAATGACGCAATACACCCCCATACAATAAAGTTCGTGCTTACCTGCTGATGTAGCAACCGGCATGCGACCAACGCCGGGACGTGGTTGCTGTTGTTGTGATCTTTGTCGCTGCTGTTGTTGCTGCTGCTGAAGCTGTTGTTGCTGTTGTTGTAGTTGTTGCTGTTGTTGTAATTGATGCTGCTGCTGTTGTTGTGGTTGTTGTTGCTGTTGTTGAGGAGACTGAGACAATGGTCTACCACCATTAGCACCAATGCTGTACGAAGGCTGCTGTCGGTAGAAGGACGGCTGTGACTGCTGCTGTTGCTGCAGTCTACTACTCATCGGCTGTTGTTGTTGTGGCGGTCTTTGTGGTTGCACTTGCTGTGGCTGTTGTTGTTGCTGCGAATACCCACCAACGAGTGATCGCTGTTGTTGTGGCTGATTCATACCGTACTGCCGTAGTGTAGTGGAGGGTCCTCCTGCAGGTCGACCGCTACTTCCGTAATCTTGCTGCTGATGGTACTGCTGTTGATGTGGTTGCTGCAGCGGCGGCCGATGGATTGCGTTTTGCTGCTGTTGCTGTTGTGGATCAGCCCCAGTGACCATGTCGTCACCCGCTGCCATCAAGCTATTGATCATCTTACTGGCAAAGTTGAACATGTTTGCGGTACAGTGGAATGTTCGTCACGTCCAACTACGGCGGCGACAACTGCTACTGCGATGTGTGACGATTATTATCGCCCCGGTGCGTCCATGGGGTGGAACCTCAGTGCCATCTTATTCGTCTTCGTCTTTGTTCGTAGTTAGTAGATCGTAGAGATGAAATGTGACACACTAAATCGCGGCGGCGGTGTCGCATCAAATCGGAAAAACGCGAGAATAACGTGTGTACACAAATTACTTGAAACAAAGCAACACTGCCCGTAGAACTGGTACAACAACGGTATAATTACAATAAGTAAAATTGTATGTCGCTAATACTCGTTACCATTATCGTTATACGGTCGACGGCGGTCGAGTGTCGAGTACGCGAACGGTGAGCGCGCGACACCCCGAACGAAAGATCATACACACGCTCAAACACACCCTGAACGAACGTTGACGCGCGGCAACGGGGGCGCGGCGCGAATGACGTCGACCAAGTTCGGTACCGGTCGGTGAGTCGTCCGTCAGCGGAAGTGTTCGGCGACTGTCGGTGGCAATCGACACACGTCGACAGCGTGCCAAGACGACAGTCAAAAGCTATTAGCCCTTAAACGCCCTTAGAGCGCGACTGGTGGTGTCTAGCGGCAACGTACTCGCTCCGTCACCGGGTACCCATGGCCCGGCCCACCCCACGCCGCCCTAAAACCGCTGGTTCAACTATACACCAACATCGCCACCGCCGCATTTCATGGAACGCCGCGCGCGCGCCTGACCGTCTGACCGTCATCGTCGACAATCGATACCTCCACTCGCGCATCCACGCTACAGTGACGACAACAGAAAAAGTAAAAAAACCCACCCCTCCAAACAGTGACCTGGTGAGAGGGGTGTATGTTCTCAATAGCATTACTCGGTACAGCGTTAAAGATTCGATCACGGTTATTACCGCTGACATCCACATTATCTTTATAGTCACTGTGGGGATGCTTAAATAATCCGCAAACTCAAGAAAATAAGTTATTAATACTTCGCTTATCAACTTAAGACCTCCATCGAATACAAAATAAAATATAACTGTAGAACTAACGAATGTTAATTGTTTTTTTATATACTTATTTTTTTTCTTTTTTCTTTTTTTTTATTTTTATTTATTTTTTTTTTTTTTGTCATAATCTCAACTTTGACAAAATATTGTTGTTTAATTTAATAAAAGAAAAGACAAATTACATTATTATTATTATTGCTATTGTTAATATACTTTTACTGAACTGTACGATTTCCAAAATAATAAAAATAAAGGAATAAAAATCGTTACTGTAACTAATTAATTTTATTTCATGAGGAAGGAACTACATTTATGTTACTTACTATTATAGATAGATTAAAAATGTGTAAAGTATATTTTTATGGTCACCAACATGTGCGTAAGGCAAACTAGCACACGCAAAGTTTAATATTAAATTTAACTCGATATTATATTCATTCCGGTTTACTATTTAAAGATCTACATTCTACACTTACCTGATAATTTCTTGTAAGGTCAATTTTAGATTGATATTAGACATATTTTTACTGTAATATATCTTCGACATTTTTACATTTTTTATAAATTGATATATTATGAAAACGAATATGAAACTTATATAATTATTAATTTCTGTTAAATATGTATTTAGTATATCAATAAAGTATCAATGATGACAAATAATAAATATAAATAGCAAAAGTATTGAGAAAAAGGTGCTATTATTTACCTTACGTGTAAATTTAAATTTAATTTTTAATTTTTTAATCTTAAGCGTTTACCTGAATTTTTTTTTGAAACAGTTACAATAGATACTTAACGTCAGCAGAAGAAACTTATTTTAAATAATTTAATTATTTTCTATTTAAGTAAATTTGTCGACTAGAATCATAAAAACAAATACATACATGTATTCGGCGTGTTTCGCCAATCGTATTATCGTTAGTTTTAGCTAGGAGAGAAGGTAGGAAAGTGAACTGTGTAAGGAATGAAAACCAGAAAAAAATAAGGATGAAGTATATACTATATATATAAGTAACCTGGTGTTATTAAAAACAATATGAATTAAATAAAAACTGTTTGACATATATTAACATACTTGCAAAAAATAAATAATAAAATATCTAAATGTAAGGTTAGTAGTAAGGATACTCGTTGCTTAATCACTATAACATTATTATATTTTATAAATTAACAAATACAAATAAAATAACCATACAATAATAAAAAAATAAAATAAAACAAACGTGACTTGACCCTGCTGGAACGGATGACGATTACAGGAACCAATCGAAGTGGTGCCATTGATGGTGAATGCTGAAGACTCGAACTGGCCAGACGGTGGAGGGCCGTGACCCAAAGCAAACAAATCAGGAATATGCACCGGACAGTGATACTCGAAGGACACATGCAGATACGTGGTCGATGATCCCACGCGTATGAAACGGGATCAACGTGACGGAAAGCCCGAAGAAGATAGATTGGCGTGATGGAGGCGCAAATGGCCTGGTTCACACTCACGCACAACGAAAGAACAAAAGGAGTGTGCCACGCGAGTACGTTTTCTTTGATTTCGACAAACATTTTTACCCTGATAAGTATTGATCAAATGTAGCTATTATTTAGCGCATATATATATATATATATATATATATATATATACATATAGGTATCACAATATATTATATTATTTATATTTAATACACCGTTTATAATCAGTAGTCAATGATTCTCGTCTCTCCTAACTAACTACTTTTCCATTTTTTTTCTTATGAAATTTCACATTTTGAGATAGTACAATATCCGTTCTATAATATTGTTAATCAAGACTAAAATTTAATTAAATGATGCAAAATATAATGATATTAAATAATCTATTATAACCTATAGCAAAACATATAAATTTATATTCTATAGTGATAATCAGGGCTAGGATTTGTATGCAATAAAAAATTGTAAAATATGCATAAATATGCATATAAATTTTTATAAGATAAACACAAAAATATTATTACAAAAAAAAAAAAATGTATTTATTGAAATACATCAGATTATATCATATATCATAATATAATATAATTGAGAAATAAAATAATTTAAAATAAAATTAATGTTTGACAAAAAAATCAAGTTTTATACTTTAATCAGCTGATCTAGAATTAAATATGAAATTATAAATAATAATTATGAAATATACTATAAAACATTAATTTTTCGCATTCTAATAATCGAAATATGCAATAATATGCATTTTACCCAAAATATGCAAAAACATGCAAAATAAAAACACTACTATTTATCTCATCATGAGGTGATTCATGAACATTACTGACAAAATCAATAATCAGAAGTCGCAAAAAAAACATGCTGTTGCATACAAATCCTAGCCCTGATAATAATGTATAAAATTACAGTATCTTGGTGATTCTAATGTTGTTAACTATGTTAAAATATAATTTATACTTATATTAATATTTCGTTTCTGTTCTACACGTTTAATCTATTTATATTAATGTATTATAATATAACTTTAATCTATAATAATTTGCAAAATAATATTTTTAAATTGTACGAGCAATGAAAAAAAAATTTTAAACTTGTAAAAATTGTTTTATAAATAAGTTAGGTTATAGAGGTGCAATCATCCAACATACCAACTTATTTTTTGAATTCTATTTCATCTTTAATCGTGAGTGTTACCTGGGATATTTCCAATTTAAGCTCTTTATTGTCTTATTGTCTTTATATATTACTTTCCTATCATCAACAGCGACGACCGGAAATAATGACACTGATTTAATATTGTTGTTTTATATTAAAAAAAATGTCTTCCACACATGTCGCTAGTATTTTTCCACCGATTGTGGTGTTGAAAACCATAAATGGGTAACATTGAACTCTCACCCTGTCGAACAAACACGATACCGCAATCAATCAAAACTTACAAGGAATACGTTCACTCTTTAAATTATTTTTCCATTCGACAAAATTATTGTTTAGGTAATAATATGAAAAATAAAATAAAATTTATGATTATTAAAAAGTGATAAATTATTTGTAAAAGTTCGCTATATCAAAACTAGCAGTATTGTACACGAAGAACATAAAATTATCACAATTAATGAGAAATAATTATTAGTAATAAATTAAGGGGATTCGATCCGGTTAGTTTTTAAGGGGTTGAATATAGGCAATTTGTTACACGCGTGCCTGAACGTCATGAGAGTGTGTGCGAAATAAATGATCACTAGTGTGTGCAATTATCCTGTTCTATACCCTCTTCCAGTATGCCATACCGGGCCACATTAATCTCGTGCTGCTAATCACCAATGCATCGACGCGATGGCAAAACCAGTTTTCCAATAATAGATATCACAGAATTGCTTATTTTATAATATATTAAAAATATAATAAAATAGTAACTTCTTTATATTTTAGCTATACCATAAACCAAACTCGAATGGACTACTACTGCCGATTTCTAAAATGTTCATTTTCATTTACAAAATTACCAATGTCTTATCTTTGAGAGTTTATTTATAGGCTTTTGAATTATGACAATATTTAGCCCAGTTCCATTTAAGTATAATATAATATAAAATAAACAGATAAATTTATTATTATTTAAAATTTTAAAATCAATTTTTTAAAGGTATAAAAATAATAATTCAAAAAAGTAAAAAAATCGTTTTTAAATCAACTTCATGACGAATTCAAATATGTTTTTATGAGTCTTATCCGATCCGATTAGGCAGGTGAGTACAATTGGCAGAATATAGGTATATTTTGATAAAAAACTTAACCCGGATCGAATGTTTATCAAAACATTTATTAAATCTGAAATTCATCCTTTTACCTCAAGTTTTCAACGTTATTTCAAGCGTTTATACAATTTTAAAATTTTTAAAATAATTTTCACGAATAAATGTTTTTAGTTGTTTCAATTTTGAAATGGAGCATTTGATGACATAAGCGTTTATTATTTTATGTTGTTGTTATATTTATGTATAAATATACGTAATCTATACATTTCATAAATTCTTTTTACTGATTTTGATGAAATAAATATTGTCCGTAGCACCTTAAAAACTTGATTACGTTGTTGCAGAAATATTTTTCACTAACATTTTACCCTGACCTGATTATAATGATACAGTCTTTCTCTCCAATCTATAGACAATGTCCATGATATTATCAAATAAAAAACATATACGTTGGTGATAAGAGATAATAACAGTTGTGAACTAACAAACCAATAACACTGACCATCACACCACTCGTCCAGTCATTTGATAGTCCCATTCGGATTGGTGTTGCCTTTGCGCAAACGCGATATACATATTTTTAATTTTTTTCACAATTAATGTAAATTGATTGAGCTTTACCCTTGTGTTCACCTTTATTGTACAATAGTGGATATTGCATTTAGTTTGTTGTAGTGATTAATTGTAATATTGTAATTTTTACTTGCTGTGTGTATAAAACGTAACGTAATTCTGGACATTACTTCTGCATAGAATTTTCTCCCATCTATATATACAGGAACTAGTAAGTATCTAAGTTAACAGTTGTTTATTTATTTAAAAAACTAGTCGGAAAGCCAGGGCCATACTTAAGATTTCTCCGCCCAAGGGCAACAACATTTTGCTGCCCATCTTCCCTGAAGTGTAAAACCGAAAATAAGTATCTCCAACTATTCAACAAAAAGCAGCTCGCAATTAATTTTCCCCATTTCAGTACTCTATAACACAATATTTATAATTAATATCTAATCCAAAATAAGAACTGAGTTATAATTATATAACTAAAGTTATAGAAAATTGTCTTTTATAATACTGATGGTGATACCCTTAAATAATTTAGTTCCTTTCGGTCTTAATGTCCCATCCCCATTTATATTTTGTATGCTACTAAATAATATAAATGATTTTATACTATACCATATTTTTATATAATTTTATTTATTCAAAAATAATTTTCCATTGAGAATGCAAAAAAATCGATTTTATTTTATTTAGAATCACTGTAATAATATTGCTGCCCCTTAAATGTTTCAGGGAGGGCTATTGCCTTCCGAATCACCCCTGAAATATGGCCCTTCTGAAAGGCCCCTACAAGATTACAAAGTATAATCTTCATTCTTTTTATCTATGTACTATATTTCATGTCATCACTCGTCAGTACAATTATATACAATTTTGTAATAATAAATATACTCATGATTATTAAACTTGTTATTTCATATTTATGTTAAATATTTTTATTTCAGAATTACTTCCACCACACTCATTAAAATGGGTATAACTAAAAAACCAGCTAGTATTTGTAGTGATGAAATACTTCCAATTGAAGTTGATGAACCACTGTAAGTAGCTAAGTATCAATGTTCTTGTAGTACACATATCTATATATATATTAGTTATTTTTTCAAACATCATTACTTTTTTGTAACACTAAAAAGACTTTATACTAAAAATCAATTAAAATAGTTTCTAAAATTTTTAAATTTATTTGTATTTAATATATTTCAATGTTTAGCTATAATTATCTAAAATTATATATATTTTATGTATAAATATATTTTTAATTATATTATAGAAGTACATGTTATTTAACAGTTAATTTTTTTTTTCTAGTGAAATTGAAACTACAATTTTTGTTCATGATGATTTTGATGCTGATGAATTTCTCCAGGGAGAGGTAGAAATTAATTATTCACCTGAAAATGAATCAAGTGAATTTAGTGATTTATCAAGTGAACCTGGGAATGAGCCAATTTATATATCTAATAATGAACCTGATTCTTCTCTTTCTTCTGTACCAAACAGTAGTCTCTACCCTGAATTAAGATACTCCATGGAATCAAATCATAACAACATAAATGTTGATACTAAACCATTGACATTTAAGAAAAAAAATGTTTCTCAGATGGGGCGTAGAAAAGCTAATCGAGCACAAAATGGTAAACATATACTTGTATATGCTTTTACATTTACCAATTGTAAAGTATACAATGTATTGTAAGTATAAATTGTATAATTCTAGGATGATAACTGTAGGTATACCATGAATAGCTATTAATTTAAATATGTACATTTACTTGTCGTTTTAACATTGATAAATGTATTCCAATTTTTATTGATGTAAATTATTAGAACTAAATTACATTTCAATTTTCTAAATATATAATTATTTTTAATTTTATTGATATTGAGTAAATATAAAAATAACTGCTTTTATTTTTATAAAAAAAACAATTTATTATTAAACAATATTTTAAAACAAATAAATTTGTCTTTAATCAGCTATCATATTGTTAAACTATTTAATTATAAAATAAAAATAATAAGCAATCTTAAATAATGAATAAAATGTATACATAATTAAATTTATTTTCATTTGAAAATAATTCTACACTATTATTTTAATTTATCTATCAGTTTTTTTGAAATCCAATTTTATCAGAATTCATAATTTACTAGTTAATATTTATTTTTTCTATTTTTTTTTTAGATATTCCATTATGTAGAGCTACTCGAAAAGTATTTCATAACATCCATAGAAATAACAACTAAGTTTTTTCAAACTAGTCTAATATTTTCTTTCAAATGTTAGTTTTGACTACTAAAAATATTATAATATTTTCAAACAAACTTTATTTTATAAATATCACATCATAAAAAATAAAACATGATAATAATTTAATCAATTCATCAAAATAAATTAACATTCCACCTTTTATGATAATATTATTATTATTACCTTTGCTAAATCTTGTTTTGATATAAAATTTCATTTTTGTTATTATTATTATTATCATTATTATTATTATTATTATTAAATATAATACACTTTAATAATTCTATATAATTTATCATTGCTATACATTATGTGATCATATTATTTATTAATTCCTTTTTTTTTTTTTAGATCATTTTCTCTTATCTCTGAGTAATGACCAACAACAACATCCGGAAGATGAAATATTCTACAATGATAACAAAAATGGATTTACTAAAGTAATCAAGAAGCTATGTATCCAACCTGATGTATGCATAATATTTTTTTTTTGTCTAAAGCAATTTTAATTTTAATAACAAAAATCATTGAAAATTTTAATTTCAATAGACTTAAATTAGTATTTATATCAAACTATTATTGATGATATAGTACTATCATTATCAACATAAAATAAATAAAATGCAATAAACATTTTTATTATTATATATTCAATTTTCGGTCTAACTTCAAAAAAGTTTCTTGTGGACAAATTTATTGTACTTATATGCCATAGTATATATGCCATAATATATTCAATCCAATAAACACTTATAATTTTTGATAAATATTATTGTTCTTTGGTTTGTTGCAATTAATTCATCATATTTATGTGCTTGTTCTAATTATTCATTTATTAAATATGTTCTTTACAAAAAATGTAGAATAACTAAATTTAAATTTTCTGAATAAATCATTTAGCAATAAGTTGATAATTTTATACTATGAAATGTTTATACTATAAACATTTTAATACATTTAAAATTTATGGTACAAATAATATTTTTGTTTTTAGCTTGTAAAGAATCAGAATGAAATGTTACTTGAAAACTTAAAAATCTAGATAAGCTATAAAAATGAATAAAATATCATAATTTATATTTAAAATATTGTGTATAATATATCATTATTGTAATTTTTATTATATATTGTTAATAGTTGAAAGATTCATTTATTGAAGGAAATGATGAAATTATTCTACAAAAAAGCAATAAACGTTCTGCTGCAGAAATGAAAAATAACAAAAAATCAAAACGAAGCGTTCGTCCTGATGTGGCATTTAAAAATTTAACTACATCCCAAAAATCACTTTTCAAACAGAAAAGTTTACCTTTTGTAAGTCGTAGCTATTTTATAAAAATACTAGGGTTATTAGTATTATATTAAAAAATACTGGCTTTAAAAATAAATGGCAATTATAATTAATTACTAATAATTGGTTTGAATACATTTTAAATTACTGGTTTTTATTATTTTTTGTTAATGCAATTTTAAATTCCGAGTGAAACGAAGATTTTAATGATTTTATCTTAATGTGTGTATTTTTATTTTTATGTGTGTATATGTAATGTTGTCGCCGAATACGTGAAATCGGTTACTGAAAGTATACAATAGTGCCGATTGCATGAAATCGGCAAGACCCTTCTTAAAAGATTATAAAGCATAATTTAATTTAAATAAATGTATAAAAGGTGGAAATATAATAAAATAATGAATACATTTTAATGTGTAAAAAAAAAGTAAATAAAAAAAAATTATATTTTATTTAAATATTTTGGCAAGTATGGCCTGGGTGACACGCCGAATTACACATCATATTATTTTTTTTTATATGTGCAATTCATACAACAAGTACAACGTCAATATATAGCCAATCAATAGCCTTATCCGATCCCAACTGACCCCAATCTAACAAGTTTTCGTAATAAATATTCATTTTGTTTAATGTCTGCAGTCGTCAGGTAACGGTAGTTTGTGGATGCTAAACTGTTCCGCTCCCTCCGTATGTTTAAAATCCCTTCTTTTGTCCTGATACGAAATTTGCCATCTTTTTCTTCTATGATAACTGCAAGAAGGTTGGCTGCATCACCTCGCCCTCGATCCACAGACGGGATTGACACCAGTACATTATCACCAACTTTTAAAGGAAGGAGGAAATTTTCAATTACTGCCATAAAACACTATTTGTAATTATATAATAATAATATGTTACTGAATTCGTGCAACGGCAGAAAAAGACTGCCTAATTCACGAAATCAGCAATCAAAATTTGCCGATTTCGTGAATTTGGTAGCCAAATTGCCAATTACACGTATTTGACGACAACGTTGCTGATTTCATAAATTCGGCGTAACATATACATATTTCGACAGAAATAATTGCTCCGATCATCACAATCGTAAGAGATTTTGGATAAAAAATTTTGTAGACCTTGTACATTTAAGGTAATTTTGCCAATTTTTCGATTGTTGAAAATGATAAAAATAATAGTAGAAGAGACTAGATTTTCACTAGATAATTTTTATACTAGTTCACAAAGTGATACAAAATAGTAACACCATTGATTTTATAATATAATAATTAGGGGTCTATATATCACTTGTATTTAAAAACATGAACGAATGTGATTTTATAGAAACGATTTTAAAGTGGATGTTATTAAAATAATACACGCGTATCCTTGTAGATAATCTATATAATATAAAACATTTATTATATAATAATAACAATAATAATTTGTATTATATTTAATATAATTTATACTTCGATGTTCATTATAGTAAATTTGGGTTAAAGCCTAGACATTTTTAATTGTTACAAAATTATTCACACAAAATATAACTATGAAAATATTTTGGTATTTGATTTTCCTTTAAATGTAAATTACAAAATAATATCAATAATTTCTTAAATTCTACAAATACAATAATTTAAAATTATTTTCAAAGAATTTTTTCTTACTCAAATCATAAATAATTAATTATAAAGAACAAAAATAATAAGACAAAGAACATATTAAACAAAATATTGGATCTTAAATACACGAGTACTTATACATTTTATAATTTAAACGGACCAAGTGTACATGTAAATAATTATTCATGTATTAAGCTAAGAGCCATAATAATAATACACATTTGTAATAGGTACGTCATACAGTATAATATAGACCAGTGGTTCTCAACCAGTGTGCCGCGGGATCGACTAGGTGTGCCGTGAAAAATGTCTGATATTTGAAAGTACCGACTGATGAAACTATGACAGTTAAATGTCAATTAATTGTGCAGATACATATGTAGGTAAACTGTACGATTTTAACCCAACTGGATATCTTAGCTATTAGCCAAAATTGTTGTTGTTGTCAAGTGCATGAGTGTGCCGCGTAAACTTGTGATGTATAATGGTGTGCCGTAAACAAAAAAAGGTTGAGGACCACTGATATAGACAAATAAAAATTATATCTCCTTCCATTGCTGAAATGATCACATACCGAAACGAGCGTCATCGAATAGACGTGTCGCCAAATCATCTAATTCCCATTGACTGTATTAAAATGTAATTATGTAATTAATAATGTATATTAATAATGTAATTATTAAAATGTAATACTTAATATGCAACCTGTATAAGTTTAGCACATTTAATAATCAACAGTCAGTTATAATAATAAATAAATACCTAATTTGCTGAAATGTGTTTAGATGTTGTATTATAATTAACATTTCGTAACTATTTATTAATTATAAACTGTAATTTGTTGTTGATCTCCAGACTGCCATAAACAATCTGGAAACTGAAGTTGTTCGCTACTTTTCACTGTCACCAAAAGGAGTTTATACATCAGCACCTTTACCGAGTTATCATCGTATACTATTGCATAGTATTGTTCGTTACTATTCATTGGATGCTACAAGTAAATATAATGCTAATTATTAATGACTTGCTATACATTTTTAATACATTGAAAGCCATATTTTCATAGTGTACAATAATTTATAAATTATCATTATTTAATAAGTAGATAATAGTAAAATAACACATTGTAAATAACGTTTCTTTATTAGGTGTCAATAACCGTGGCTGTCGTAACCAAAAAATCGTCCAAGTTCGTAATAGCCGCTTTGACGATTTTTTACCTCCACAAATGAGTTTGCTGAAGTTTATCACTCAACTTTAACCTCTTAAAACTCCTAAGCTCTATTAAACAATACATTTACAATAATATATTATATTGAAGACATTAACTGACATATTTTTAACCTTGCTACTTTTAAAGGCTTTTATGAAGTAATTTATTATTATATTATTTTATAGATTATATATTAATAGATAGAATAATTTTTATCCATGATTTTGATGTTTTACAAATTACTATTATAATACTTAGGTAATAGTTTCAAGGGGCACACGTGTTATATTTTTATAAAGAATCATTGTATTTAATTTAGTTTTATCTTGTTTGTAACTATCAATATCTATATTTTACTTGTTCACAGTTTAAAATTTAAATGTAATTAATTTTATCTCTGATTATTATAAAATATAAATTATATAATCTATATTATTATCTATGAATAAATTTTAGGTCACTCCTTCTGCAAATAATAGTTCTTAAGGACTTAACTTAAGACCTAATTACATGTTATTACATTTTTATTTAATGAAAATAAGGAAAAAAAGTTCTGTGTAGATCAGTTTTAATAATATAATAATTATAATTATTATTGAATAGGAAATTTTGATATTCTAGGGTCTTTAAAATCAAATGATAATAATGGTTTATTGTGTTTTGTTATCTTTTATGGTTGTAATATTTGACAATTTTGTTGGATTGGCTGGTATAATTTTATTATTCCGTAAAAAATGCATTAAAATATTAGTTTCATTTGAGAAACTTCACATTATTTATTTATTTTTTATTTTATTACAGTTTCCTAAATATTTTATTGAAGTAGTGGATTTTCTATGTAAGCAATACGTCGAGTTACTTGAGATAAAATAGTAGCAATTAAAAAATGTAGAGTGAATCAGATTTTATGCTAATTTGTTTTATTGTTCTGCTTCGGTTTATGCTTGTGTATCCTCTAATCATAATTTCAATTATGTATGCATATCATGATTGTATTCATTTTAAATAATAAACATACAAGTGTTATCTATATTTTTATCTATCTATTTATATAAAAATCTCGTGCACAGTGTTTGTAACCATACTCCTCCAAAACGGCTTAACTGATTTTGATGAAATTTTGTATATATATTTAGGTCTGCGAATAGGTTTTCCTCTATTTTTTATACTCCTAAGTACTATTGTTTAATAAAACGTAGTTTAATTTAATAATTTTTGACCCGGTCGATTAACTACGCAATTGAAAATGAATTATTAAATGAAAATATTTAAAAACTATTCATTTTATTTTTGGTATTAAATGATGGGTATTGCATAAATATTAAACAACAAGATCCCGCAACAGGTGCCAAAATAAACAAAAATATTAGTTCGAAAGATTCTTATGAATATCAGTTGATGATTAGATGCAATCAGGACAACGTTATTTTACGATTTACGAGCTTTGTCAACAATTCATGGTCGACATATATGTAAAGATTAAGATATGTTAAGAGAACGAACGAGTACGATAATTCAATCAAAAAAAGCTGCGTGCGGAAGATTCTCAAAACAATTGTTAAATATCGATGATGGGAAAGTTACTACAGATGAAACGGAATGCATACAATTACCGACCGATTTCAGCACAATCATTGATTCGCAAGATACTCTCACTGTCCAGTTTTTTCCCAATATACACAGACAATACACAAATTATGAATGGCTGACAAAAAGAGCAATTTTAGCAGCAAAAAATGTGGACATCAACGAATTGAATCTCAATATGAAATATTTGTTACCAGGAGACTCGGTGTCATACAAATCTATTGATACAGTTTGCGATGTTATTGAAGCTGTAAATTATCCAACAGAGTTTTTAAACTCATTAGATTTACCAGGTATGCCACCGCATAATTTACAAATGAAAGTTGGATCTCCGGTTCTTTTGCTTCGTAATTTAAACCCACTAGGGTTGTGCAATGGCAAGCGATTAGTCATTAAAAAATTAATGAAAAATGTTATCGAAGCCATCATTTTAAATGGCGAATTCCGAGGTGAAAATATATTACTACCACGATTCCCTATTATACCCACAGATGTGCCCAGTGACGTACATTCAAATTTGATCTGGGGGGGGTTTCAAAAAAATAACCAACACTAAAACCTTCCCTTTAAAACTACCCATTTTCCTAACAATCAAACACATAACACGTATAAATATTAATAGGCAAAACAGCAAAACAAATACAAAGGTTTACATAACTCATGGCAGTTAAATATTATTTAATATGCACAGTAAATACAGAGAATTATATATATTATATTATTAATTATTTATAATAAAAATTCTAATCTCCTTTTTTTATTGGATAGTTCAACCAGCACTTCATCAGGAGTAATTGAATCATTTTTGTTGATCGAGAGCATAGCTAGACCATTAAGTCTTCCCTATCAAAATTAATTACAACATTAAATTAAGTTGATTATAATCATTAATACTATTATTTAAATTGAACATACCTCAGAAGTAGAGTTGCGTAGGTAAGTTTTTATTCTCTTGAGAGTTGAGAATGTCCTTTCATTAGTGGCAGAAGAAACTGGTAAAGTTGCTAATATTTTAACTAACTTAAAAATATTTGGGTACATGGCTTCATTACATATGTAAATAGCGTCCATTGCATTTTTTGGTTTATCCGTTTCTGATAGACATTTAAGTTTTCGTTGCCAAAGTTTGAACTCATTTTTGAATACCTCATCACAATTTTCAATATCTTCTAGATCTTCGCTATACTGTTTTATAAGAAATATAAAATCTTCTTCATAACCATTTTCTTTAAATAAGGAATGGAAGCTTGTCAATGTACTTTGGTGATTTGTAAATCTTTCTTCCAATTCATTAATGAATTTGTCTATGTACGGAATAAATACTGATTGTTTGTTTGAATGTTACATCTGTTGGTTTGTCTTTTTGATATTCTTGGTATGTTTATCGCAATGTCAATTTTCTTAGCCAGTGATTTTACACGTTCAAAAATGTTTCCAAATTCTTTTTCAGCATTCAATCTTATATCTGTAAGTTCTTGTTTTGTGTTTTGTGCCAATGACATAGCTTCTTTGAGATCTATGCTTGTTTGCTGGAGAACTTTTGATAAGACTAAACCTAATGCAAATACTTTATTCAAAACAAATAAGCAAATAATAAATTCGGAATTTAACATAGAGATTCTAAGTCGTTGCTTTTTCAGATGTATCATTGTCATTCCATTCAGAAATATCTTCCAAAGCTTCTTCAACATACTCAAAAAGTTCTAAAAAGTCATGAACGGCATGGTATCTCTCAATCCAACGAGTCTCGCAACTTCTTTTAAGCGTTTTTTTAGATGGTGTTTCGGACGACTTTTCTATTTTATGAATAAGAACAGACTTCCGCTTTGGATAAATAAAAAAATCTCTGATTTGACTTATTGTCCCAAGACAATCGCGTATGGCTGGTACACTACAGGATTTAGAAACAGCTAAATTTAACGAGTGGGCTGAACAATGAACATATAGAGCATTTGGGTGAATTTCTTTAATGTGAGCCTGGACACCATTAAATTTTCCGGCCATTGCAGCTGCCCCGTCATATCCTTGCCCACGTAAATATTGCGTATTGATACCAAATTGTTAAAGATTTTCTAGGATTAAATTTGCTATTCCTTTACCAGTCATATTATTAGTTGGTACAAATTGTAAAAATTCTTCAGTAAGTTTTAATGTATTAGAATTGAAATATCTAACACATAGCGATACCTGTTCCACTCCTGAAATATCCGCAGTTTCATCAGCAAGAATTGAAAAACATTTTGCTGTATTTACTCTAGAAACAACTTTGTCCAATAAAATTTTGTTACAAGCATCAATCATATTATTTTGACTTCTATGACTAGTATATTTCATCTTTCCCAAGCTTTCCAAATAGGTTTTCATTTCAATATCTCCTTGAGCTCGGTATCGTAAAATTTCTCTGAAATTACCTTCATTCATAACTTTTGAGTCGTTGCTTTCAATTTTTCCTGAATCACGGTGTCCTCTTAATACCAAGTTTTGACGGCCGCACAAAATAACTGCCTCAATTATTGCAATAATATTTTTTCGATTTTGCAATATTTGTTTGTTTTTTTCGTTGTCAATTATTTTATCGATTGCCCTTGTTGGATTTTTAAGCATGTTTAAGAAATTATCGGCATCTAATAAACTCTTTTTGTGATATTCTAAATTCGAATGATTTTTAAAGTTTTCCAATGCATGTTTCCAATCATCATATTTTATTAATACAAAAGCTCCCAATTTTTAGTTATTAACACCGGCTTCAGTTTTAGTAAAAGCAACACAATATTTGCAATACACACCACTGTTTACTTCTGAATAAGCCAACCAGGGAAAGCTAATAAGCCATTTATATTGAAATTTCAACTTTAAAACTTTTTGTTGTTTACCGACTACTGATATTTTGATAGGAAAATTGTAATTAATATCAGGGACCCAAATTTTGCTCAACATTTCTTCTATTTCACTTTGCTTTAACAATTTATTTGTGTAATATGCAATGTCAAAAATATTATAACTGGAAGATGTACGATTAATATCTGTAGTCAAAGGTGTGAACTGAGTGATAGGTGTATCAGATGCAGATACAGTTGAAGGTAATGAGGAACTAGAGGAACTTATAACTGTTTGAGTTGCATTCAATGAATTTGACAATGAATTCATTATTGAAGGTGGTTTTGAAAAAAAATATTGCATTTTCGATTGTTTTTTTTCAGCCATGATTACTATTTATTTTAAGTATATATATAAATATATATTAAGTGGCGTATATAGGCGGCGGGCCTATATAATATCTGTTTGAAAGACAACTAAAATATATAATACTAATTTATATTTATTATTTTTAGGTATTTATTATTATTTATTACTTATTACTTATTAGATAGGTAAGTTCTGTACTTAAAAATACAATATATACTATATACAGTATGCATATTAACTTAACTGAGTTAAAAAAAAAAAAAAAATCATTAACTCGATCAGTCTTGTGTAATTATAATTCAATTTAATATTTTAAACGTTTAATGTTTTGCTAATAAACAAATTTAATGTTATAAATTCAAATTAATCTTAACTAAATACTTACCTATGGTTTATGGAGTTCAATGAATAGCTATTCAACAACTATAGTTGTTGACATAAACTTCTCCAACGGCAGAATAGAACAAAATGAACAAATATTTCATAATTAAATATTTTAACATGGTCATTTACGATAGTGCTATAAAAATAGAATCCATTTCACCGTATTATTGTCGCTCACGAGAAATTCAACGATTATAACGTAATTGGTTTTTCCTACGTTGTCTGATCGAGTCGGTCGAGATAATGACAATATTAATATGTACAGTCGTTGCCAGATAAATTGAGACGGCGGCGGCGGCGCGATAACGGAAAACCAGTGGTCCTCCGTATTTCAATATTATTACTGAAAATATATCAATAAACCAACTATTGTTACAAAAAATATTTTACGATATTAATTTCAAATCATATATTCTGATAATAATTTTTTATTTAAGAACAAAAAGTAGAAATTGTAAAATAATATAATTAATATAATAATAACACATAATATTAATAATATGATGAAATAATAACAACATCTATATGCATTATTATAAACAAATATTGTTGATACGACTGAAGTGCTTGCGCGGTCAAAACACACCGGGTTAGGTTAGTTGTTTTTAGCAGTGTAGGGCAACCAGAACGGGAGAGAGAACAGAAAATTCTGCAGACAATTTTTTGCACTAAGCCGGGTTCGAACTGGTAACTGCGCGCGTCGTAGCTAACTGTAAGACTTTTGCACCACATTATCAGCAACTAGTTTGGGCTACACTTAATGAAAAGCGCCGCCGCCGCTGTCTCAATTTATCTGGCAACGACTGTACCTATGCAATTAACTGACTGTGTACGATCAAGTGTCTATTTTGATTGATATACGGCAACCATAATTTCGTTATGAAATCTTTTTTCGTTGTTGGTAAAGTATAGTGTTAACTCAATAGTCAATATTCAATAGTCATATTATTATGACGTTTGTTTGTCCATGTATAATAAGAAATTCATCAATAATATCATTTTTTTTTTTTTTTTGGTCCTGGGGGGGGTTTGAACCCCCCCCCCCCCCCCCCCCCCGTATGTACGCCACTGGATGTGCCAATACAATTTAAACGCCTTCAATTTCCAATTAGATTGTCATTTGCAATGACTATCAATAAGTCTCAAGATCAAACGATGTCTGTCTGTGACTTAGATTTGAGCACATCATGTTTTTCACACGGACAATTATACGTGGCGTGCTCTAGAGTGGGCAAACCATCCAGTTTGTTTGTGTTGGCGAAAGATAGGGTAACAAAAAATATTGCACACTTTGTTGCATCAAGGGATTGATATTGTTTTTTACTAATATTGTTATAATTAGCGATATATATCTAATTTAAAGGATCAATTTTAATAAATTATTAAAAAAAAAAAATGTTTGATGTTTTTTCATTTTTATATTCCGTCACCGTTCACAGAACCTCTTCCTTACATCCTAATCCTTATCCACATCCTTACATGTTTATATTAGATTAAATATTTTTTTCTAGCAAAATATTCTCTAGAAATAATTTACATGACAAAACAACGTTTGTCAGGTCAGCTAGTACTATTATGTAATATGCTAAGGGGGTTTTCTACGACTGTGCTAACCAAGAAAACTACTGAACCGATTTGGTTGAAATTTTTTGCTGTTATACCCAACAGTCTGCTGAAGGTTTTAGTACTACTTTTGTCTATATAGTTCTTGAAAAATTCAAAATTGTATACCTATATAATACACATAAAATTTAAAATCAATAATGTTGTTACTATACTATTTATATTTTTTCAACACATTTTAATGCCATTAGTTGTATCGATTATAGTAAAAACAACAATATAAATAGTATTGTTATTTAGTTTATTATTTAATATTGAACACTAAAGTATAAAATAAAATAACAGTATACTACTGAAACTGAACGCTGAATACAAAAAAGAATATGACGCTGAATAGCTGAACAGTCGAGTGTGGTTCTTCTTTGCTAAGCACACCGCTTTACGATCGTAAAAACTACGCACTGGCGTCAGCCCACTACGCCCATTACGAGCATAGTTTGTGCTTAGTTTGATAGAATATACTTTTTGATTCTACTTTTGAAGATTTATTAAAAAAAATGATGAGATTGCAAATTATTTGAATGGTCGATACCTATGTACTTTTGAAGCGTTTTGGAGAATTTTCAATTTTGAAATCCATGATAAAGATCCAACAGTTAAGCACTTAGTCATATACTCAGAAGTTTTATAAAATTCTTTATCAATCATAAATTACTCAGCATTTCTTTTGTATCGGTATTCATTTTTAATAAAAATATAATTGTCATTAATCCCACTATAAATATTTCAATACGTTCTCATTAATCATTTTTTATATATTATTATTAATATTTCCGATATTATTAAACGATAGAATTTGAATAAAACATTCTATATACAACCGTCCGAAGGCAAATTAAACAACTAATCATGGGTAAAACCATAACGGGTCGGCTGGTCTATATATATAAAAATTAATTGCTATTCGTTAGTCTCACTAAACTCGAGAGCAGCTGAATCGATTTCGCTAATTATTTTTTTATAATATTCCTTGAAGTACGAGGATGGTTTTTACGGAGAGAAAAATTTAAAAAATTGCCTGAAAAAGTCTAAAAACAACACTTTTCTATATTCCCATACAAAAGATTAAAATTAAAAGTCAATTAAAACTACTGATATATAAGGGATTTAATTGTTAAACATTGTGTGTTTGGTGTGATACGCTGCTGGATGTATTCTGTGGAGTTGCAGTAATTTGGATTGCCGCATGCACACATTTTGATTTGGTTGGTTGAAAAAATTAGGCCAAATGAAGTTGATGAAGTCATATCAGTTAAAATCCCTAATGAACAAGTAGATCCTAGCTTGCATGAAGTAATTATCAAAAACATGACACATGATCCATGTGGAACACTTAATCAAAATGCACCGTGTATGGTAGATGGTAAGTATCCAAAGCGCTATCCACGGACATTAATACCTATCGGAAACAATTACTGTAAATTATGGTTATCCACTCTTTCATCGGCGATCACTAGCAGATAATGGAAGATCAGCAATTGTCAATATAAATCAACAAGATATTGAAATAGCTAATCGCTGGATTTTTTCATATTCACCGATCTTATCAAATATTTTCAAAGCACACATCAATGTTGAATCTTGCCATTCAGTAAAATTTATCAAGTATATATGTAAATATGTAACCAAAGGAAGTGATATGGCTGCGATTGGATTTGGTGCGGAGAATTCAAATAATAAAGTAACCCAATATCAAACGGGCCGTTGTGTTAGCAGTAATGAAGCATTTTGGCGAATTTTTTCTTTCCCAATTCATGAATCACACCCCATAGTTGTTCACTTAGCCGTGCATTTAGAAAATTGATAGAACGTGTATTTCACAGCTCAGAATTCAATACAGAGAGCTCACCAGCCACCATCTACTACCTTAACCATTTTTTTCGAGACATGCCAAAATGATCATTTTTCACAAACACCACTATATTCTGAATTGGTAAAATACTATATTTGAAATCAAACAACAAAGAAATGTATGCAAAGAAAACAAGGAAAACTAGTTCTAGGTAACCCAGGTGTATATTCAATCGACGCAATAGGTCGAATTTATTCCATTAATCCAAGCAACAATGAATGTTTATATTTACAACTGATATTAGTCAATGTACGTGGCCCAACATTTACGAACAGTTGATGGTGAATTGTGTGGATCTTACAGAGAAGCCTATCATCGTTTGCAACTGTTAGAAAATGATGCACATTAGGATCAAACTCTCAGTGATGCTGTAATTTCATCACAAGCTCATCAAATACGAAAATTGTTTTCCATTATCATATGTACATACTTCCAATCAAAACCAATTGATTTGTGGATAAAATACAAAGGTCATATGTGTGTCGATATTTTATTTAATATACGTAATAGAACAGGGAATCTGAATATACAAATAAGTGAAGAAATTTACAATCAAGCATTGATTTTCATTGAAGATATTTGCTTGATGATGTCAAACAAGCTATTATGTCAATTGAGGATGGCCGCGTCCAATCACCCAATGCACGATGCTTTTCATCAAGAGTTACAACATGAAAAATCGTATAATCTCAATACTTTGAAAGAATCAATTCAAATAAATCTTCAACTATTGAACAAATTACAAAAATATGTATTTGATATTCTTAAGAAAGTAATAAATAATGGAGCTGAAGGGATTTAATTCTTGGACGCTCCTAGTGGTACAGGAAAAACTTTTTTGATTACTTTAATATTGGCAACATTTCATTTTTCAAAAATGAAAATTGCTCTAGCTTTTGCTTCGTCAGGCATTGCAGCAACTTTGCTCGAAGGCGGTAGTACAGCCCATTCTGCTCTAAAATTTCCATTAAATATGCAAAGCAGCGAAACTCCAACCTGCAGCATTTCCAAAATTCGGCAATAGCAAAAATTTTGCAGCTATGTAAAGTAATAGTATGGGATGAATGCACGATGGCGTATAAAAAATCTTTAAAAGCTTTAGATAGAATCTTAAAAGATTTACGGAATAACCAAAACCAATTTGGTGGTACAATGATTTTATTATCAGGAGATTTTCATCAAACATTGCCAGTGGTTCCACGTTTAACGAAACCTGATGAACTGAATGCATGTTTAAAGTCCTCCAATTTTTGGAAACATGTTAAGGTATTACATTTCAGCAAGAATATGAGTGTCATGTTGCAAAATAGTCAATCTGGTGACATATTCTCCAAACAAATCATTAATATTGGTAATGGCAAATTTTCTATAGATGTGCTGACTGACTGCTTCACCTTTCCTGAGAGTTTTTGTCAGTTAACGCAATCAAAAGCTGAACTCATTCAAAAAGTGTTTCCAAATACTGCTCAAAATTACTTATTCCATGATTGGTTGAGCGAACAAGCTATAGTGGCTGCCAATAACATTGATGTAAATGAATTAAATTTCAAAATTCAAGATGACATTCCTGACAAAAAGGAAAAGACGTTTTGATACTTCGCATTCCAATGATTCTGACTGACGTACTATTCGAGTTTAAACGACCACAGTTTCCAGTATTGCTTGCTTTCACTATAACTATAAACAAATCCCAGGGGCAGTCATTAAATATTTGTGGTATTTTCTAAAAAACCCATGTTTCTCGCAATTGTATGTTGCCTGTTCCCGTGTTTGAAAACCATCAGCTCTGTTTGTTTACACACCAGGTAATCAAACAAAAAATATCGTGTACATCATGTATATAGTACTACAATAAAAATGAAACTTAATTTAGAATTAAAAATAAAATGAAATATAATAAGTAGGTATCATAATAAGAAATCTGAAATTGTAATTATCATCATGATTTTTTAGTGAGTATTAAAATAATTTCAAATGTTGTAAAATTGTTATTTTTTGACATAATGTAATTGTTGACTTATCAATTTTCTTTTATCTTTAAAAAAAAAAATTAAAAATTAAAGAATCGACTGTTAGGCTGTACGAAGTTCACTTGGTCAGCTAGTTATTAATAAATACTTATTATTGTTTTGACTCCTAAGTTAACTAATATAAAACATACTCAATTTATTCACAAAAACCTATTACAATTGAAGCTAAATATATTGAAACCTATATTTAAAATTTGATCATCTTATTAAATGGCCAAGAGGGCTATTTTGTTCTTCCAATATGGCTTAAAATAAAATTAATTTTAAATCATTATCAATTTTTACATCATTTTATGAATACAAGGAGTGATATAACCAAGATTTTCAGATAATTTAATAGAATTTAATGATATTTTTTGTTAATTTTTGTTTTTATTTAATTATGAATATTTTTTTATTTCTTAACTTAAATTACCAATTATATTTAAAACTATACATATCATATTTAAAAACAATGTCAGTTTGAAAATGAAACTTTTCAATTCAATACTAATATTAAATTAACTTAAGTATCTAAAGTAATGTTTATTATCTCAATGTATTTAAGTACCAACTACATCATACATGGTTAAAACAAATAATACAGTAGTTTTTACAATAAATAAAAAATAATAATAGTCAAATACAATTATAATAGTCAAATATAGTAAATAGTTATAATCCCATTTTTCTGCCTTCTATTGATATTGGAACTGCACGCTTGGATTGATTATTCCTTTTGCTATCCATATAATTTTTCAAGTGCTTTTCAAATCTGTTCATTGGACGCTTTACGGCCTAAAAAGTTGAACAATCAAAATATTTTATTCATAACTTAATAATTTGTATTAATTTAATTACCTTTGAAATATCAGCGTCTGTAATTGATTTTGGTCTAACCACATAATCCTTATTTGATGGTGTAGGTACACGAGCTCTGGATATCCACCCTTTATCTCCTGGTTTTAATGTTCTTGGACTAAAATTAAATAATTTAATAATTATATGTATTTCTTAAAATATATTTCTAAAAATAATATTACATTTTACTCCTTTGATACACCATCTATAATAATTTTATTTTTGTAGAAAGCACAATGAAAAATTACTATTTTATGTATTACAGATATAACAAATAAACTAAATATTAATACCTATATAATAAATAATAAATGAAAAATATTTAAAAAAAATGTACATTATAATGATAGTTAAAATACAACTACATTTATATTTAAGTTCTGTTATGTTATCTATACTTAAAATAATTTTTGATTTGCATAAACTCACTAGAGAAATAACATTTTTTGACCACAAACAGATTATAATATTACCATGAAAACTAGAAAACAAAGGTACCTAATAAATATTTAAATTAAATAAATAAATTTACATTAAAAAAATTTAATTTTAAATTATTTTAAGATAAATATACAAGCATCATTTACAAGATAATTACAGTGAAAATGTATTAACAAGTATTTCTTCATAAAACGATACAACTTATAGACCTTTGAATGTTTGGTAATTTTATAAGATAAAATATGATTGATTTATCAATACTGATAAATTAGAACTAACTAAAAGATTATAAATATAAACTTATTTACTTTTTTTTTATTTACTTATTTCACTTACCCTTCATCATCATCATCATCGTCATCATCATTTTTGTTACCAGAATCATCCATACTTGAGCGCTTTTGCCTGGGCATTTGCATTTGTTCCAAATCTCTTACTTCTCTTTCTTCTTTGGACATAGCTTTAAAAAAAAATGATTTGAATTAATTTGAATTTTATCAATAGAATTAAGATAAACAATGTGTAATTTTCGACTCACCTTTAAAATCAGTTGATAAATTAAAAATTGGACGAGCCCATTCATTAATTAGACGACCAGCGCGTTCTCGATTTTCTTTAGTTTCTTTAGGGTGTCTGTATAAATACATAACAGCTTTACCGATTCCAGAATATTTAAGAGTAGATTGTTCAATTGGAGGATACTGTAATTAAAAATTTGAATGAATTAATAAATGCACAAATAACATTTTTAATTCGGATTTACATCAGCTAAAAGTTTTATCAAAGACTCGCGGACTTGTAATGAAGGCAAACTTCTATCTGGCATAGGGGCCAACCAATCAGTAAAAACATTTAATACATTATGCTCAATGAAAGCTAACATCAAATTGTGTTTCTTCAATTGTGATAAACATTTTGGCAACATGGTTATTTTGTTAATGGCCGGTTTTCCTTCTTTGTTTAATTTTCGATCAGACTGAATGGATTTAAAAATATAAAAATAACATATATAATTGTTATTAATTTTTAATATACCAACTAAATTAAATAAAATCAAAAGAAAATATTATATAAAATTATTTAAAATTATATTAAAATGAGATTCAAATCTTTTAGTGAATTATAATGTATAACATATCTAAAAATTACTTCAGCTGCATGTTTCATATCAGCAATTAGTCCAGCAATGATGTCATCATTATCATTAATAATATCAATATCCTTCCTACGACGTTTCATTGATTGTTCTTCTTTTTTCTTCATCATCATAAGCTCAAAGTCAGATACTGGATGATCACTGTTTAAAAATGAATAATACATATTACAGAATTATTCAAAACAATTACCACAGGATAGTTTTTTCTGAAAAACCCTTCATTTAAATATATATGTTTAAATATAATTAATATGGTTAAATTTATTACTTATTAACGTTTTCACGTTCATCTGGGTCATCAGGATCATCCACATCTTCTTTGTTAACAGAGACTGCATCAGCCACTACACTTATATCATCCTCTTTGTCAGAGTCATCTGATAATTCAGGTAATACATCTTTATATTTTAGTTCATTTTCTGCATTATCATCATCAGATATATCATGTTCTTTGCGATCCTTAATAATTGAAATAATAATCAATACAAAAATAATGCAAAATAAAATTGTATTAATTACACTAACGGTTACATTTAATTTAATTTCTTCATCTTCAGACTCAGAATCAGACATAATTTTAACCTTTTTGAATTTTGTTTTCTGAACTATTTTATTTTCTGGTTCTAAAAAAAGATTCAGATTCAAAAAATACTCTTTAAAAAAAATTTTTATTACATTTTATATAGCTATTACCTTGACTTTCATCGTTGGAATCATTATCATTTTTAACTGAGAAATCATCATCGGAATCAGATTCAATTCTACGTTTTGTTTTAGTTCTTTTAAATGCAGATTGAGAATCAACTGATGATACTGATGATGATTTAGAGTTGGATCTTGAACGAGACTTGGATTTGGATCTTGATCGGGATTTAGACTTTGACTTATCTCTAGTTTGAAAACCTAAGTCTGATTGAACAGAAGAACCTGACTGAGAACGTGAAGAACCGTTAAGAGAACGAGATCTTGATCTAGATTTGCGATCAGTTGACTTTGTAGATTGATTAAGATTACCATCTTCAGTAGATGATATTGATACTTCAGATGAATTTTTTACCTCTAAAATTAATTAAAATATAATTAATCTAATACATGTGTGAGATAAAATAACTATGATTCCAATTTTTTGATTTTCAATGGGATTTTAATTATTTTTATTTATTTATATATTTGAAAGATGAACCAAAACATAAGTTTATATTTAGATAAAAACATTTACTCGGTCATAAGAGTAAGTTTGTCACTTTTTGCAAAGAAAAAGTAATAATATATTATAAATGTATAGATTCCGCTGATTTCTTAAAATCAATAATAACGAGCCGAATACGAGAATTTAGCAATTTGGCCATCAATTTCATAAATTAAACTATTTTTATGTTGAATTCATGAATTTAGAAAAACATTATCCGGTGACACAAGATTAAATAATCTTTAAACCCTCAGATTTATCTAAAACTTATTTGTCAAAAAGATTATTCAATACAACTTAAGAATGATATACATTATTTTCTTCAGATTAATTTTTGCCAAAGATTTACATTACATGCAAAAAGTAGAGTTTGATAATTACGACAATCGGTGAAAATATCATATGCCCGATACCTCATATACAACCCTCATTTATTATATTTTATATCATTTAACAGTTTTTTAAAAATTTCGTTTAACAGATAAACAATTTTTTTAGTTTAAAAAACTAATTATACTGAACGAAATGTATACAAATAATATTTCTAATAATAAAGTAAATAATAATGCATATATTGATAATAATACAATACCTATAGTCATGGGCGCCCACAGGAAATTTATCAGAGGGGGGGGCATAATGAAATCAAACACAAAAAAAAATACATTAAAAAAAGTGTATTCCTTGTAAACTACAAATTGTGTTAGAATTATATGAAATCCAACACCAAAAAGAATATTAAAAAATATATTCCTTACAACTTAAAAAATTAGTTAAATAAAAACTGAAGCTATATGTGCGTGGTGCGTCGATCGTCATAAGTGGTTTACACACCAGGCGATTAATATCAATTCATAGAATTGAAACGTATTTAATTTTGCGCGATTAAAGTAATACGCATTATTTTGTAGGTACGCCTTATAATATATTGTTATTACGATCAACAATACCCACACGGCACACACTAAAGTAAAAATATCGATAAAATGTTGATAAATCAAAATAAAAATTCAAATATTCAACATTCTATTGAATTGCAGTGGGGCAAATGCCCCCTCTTGCCCCCCCTCCGGGCGACCATGCTTATAGTAATAAATTGGGCTCGAAAGTTGATGCATTTTGCATTTTTCTTTTTTTAAACTTTATAGACAATGTTCTCCTGGCCAAAAATGTGTTTCATTAGCATGTGAAACCGAATTACTAATTTTTATTTTGCATTTTCTTGCATTTTTTGGTGTTTATTAGTTTTTAAGTAATTTTTTGACATTTTTGGTCATTTTTACTGATTTCACACTAGTTCACTTTTAATCGTTTTTTGTGACCATTATGCCAATAACTTAAGATTTGTACGATTTTATCTCGCCGATTACATTTGTAATTATCGTATTATAGTGAATATTATTATACCTACATTTTATTTTATTGTTTTTTCCTAATATTCGATTAGTATCCGATTTTATTTCGTCGATTACAGTCATTGCGTCGTTATCATGTTATATTGAATAATACCTATTATATCTAAATTTAATTATTTTTTTTGTAATATTTTCGAAAATTAAAACGTGATTAGTACTCATCTGTACCTCCCAATTACTTCAGCAGACATGGAGAGAAGTTTTTCCAAATATAAATATTTATAATCGGATAATCGTCGTTTATTTACTTTTGATAACATTAAATACTCTAATTGTAAAATCCAATTATTTTAACTTTTGAGTAATTTGTATGTTTTGATAAATTTATATAGAACGTTACAGTAAAATAGAGTAAAATATTGAAAAAAATGTATTTTAATGTATGTAATTTTAATTTAAAACAAATATTTGTAATTTTATTAGGTCATTTTTTAAGAACATTTTTTGTCATTTTTAGGTATGTCATATTTGAATCTTTTTTTAGGTCATTTTTTAATGTTTTTAAGGTCATCAACTTCCAAGCAGTAGTAATAAACAATACATTTTAATAATATGTAAGCAGGTACACTTAGATGTGTTTATTTATACATATAATTTGTATATCCATTACATATGTACCTTACACATTTTTTTATTATTTTTTGTCAAAGAACAATATATATGTTTACAATTATTTAAAGAAATAAAATGTCATTTGGTACATTTTTGGTATGTTGAAACCCTCAGTAAATAATGTGTAAAGCTTAAGAAAACATTATTTTAAAGCTCCGAAATACAATTATTATCATGTTAGGTTAAATTAATGTTAGTTAAATTAGTAAAATATTAATTTTTTTCGTTGTTGAAATGTTTTTTAATGAAAATTGTATGGTTCCATAAAAATATTTGTTACATAAACAGTTATGTTCAATATAACTTTAACTGAATAAAATATATGTTATTATTATTTAATTATAATTAATATATTTATATTTAACTTTTCATTTTTAATACTTATACAATTTGTTTAATAGTAATTAACATATTTTTTTCAATAACATAATTATTTAATTTAAAAATATAATTTGAATTACATTAAATAATTTTTTGTTTCAAAAATGTATGTATGTTCATAACAATAAACAACCAAAGAAAAACCTTACAGCGAAAACTAATATCATTGAGATTTTATTTAGAATTGTATGACTGTTGATTATGTGAAAAGCTTTTCTGATTTCACACAATCTGAAATGTTATGTCTACAGTTGATAAATTTACATACTAAGAAATGGTTTAATTCAGAAAATAAGTAATTTTATGAATTTAATGTAATATGTACCAATACAAGTGTTTCTAAAACATAGCATCACATGATAATTCCAAATGTGTTTAAGGTATAATAAATAAGGTAATTTAAGGTATAAATAAATAAATGATACAAAAGAAACAAATATTTTTTTACAAATATTAATAATTAGTACAATGAAATACAAATTATATTATTTATAACTTATGTAGGAAAATATTATAGAATTATAATAATGACATTAAAAATCCCAACTAAATTGTTTAAAAAAGGTATTTTATTACGTATTGTTGTTTTTGGTAATTATTTTTATTTTCTTTATTATGTGCCATACTTTATAAAATATTTAAATAGTGTACCACCATAATACAAATATTGAAAAACACTGAACAATTAATCAATTTAGTGCTGCAAAATGATTTATATTTATGAATATAATTTTTATTACTTATACTTGATAATTAAAAATTGCAAAACTATTACTATATATAAATATATTCCCTTAAAATGAATCTAATTTTTTTATGATAAATTTCATTTCTTCAAAATGTAAGTTATCTATTTTCTTAAATTACCCAAATGGCTTATTCCTTACCTTTACTTTTTAACAAAAGATCGTCAGTAGTACTTGAAACCACTTGATATGAATCGGCAGTATCACTATCATTTGTTTCATTGATATCAGATTCTATTTCAGCCTGCTGTGAACTCACACTTTGAGTCCTATTTCTATAAAATACCATAACATTTTAAACAACATAAAATGGCATAGAAATTCAAGTACCAACGCCTTAACTTTCTAAATCATTATACTTTTGTTTCAAAGCAATAAATAGTACATCTTTGAGAAACTTTACAGAGATCCAAGAAAATCATTAAGAAAAATTATCTATAATTTTAATATTTTGACTAATATATTTAAATACTGTTTATATAAATATAACTAAAAAGCTATGAATAAAAGGATGATAAAATTGAGATTTAACTAAATATTACATTTTTAATTATCAATAAACAAAGATACCATGGAAATAATGATAGTTTTACTTCAATAATAAATAAGTAATGCTCGGTATAAAAAATCTACAATATATAAATTCAATTGTTTTTCCTTGCTTATAATATCAATTACTTACACAATATAGTTTGGTGTAGAATGTGGATTTATGTGTCTCATTTTACAACTTTTTCACACTGAAAATAAACAAATATTAATTTACCAAGAACTGATTTTTTTTTTTAACCTATTCAAGTGTAATTGAATAGATAATTTAACACATAAATATATAAATAAAATTAAGTTTTTTAATAACTTAAAAAAAAAAGATAATGAAAAGAAGTTTCACAAATAAAAAGACAATTAATTTATCAAAAAGATGTATATTAGATTATTCAATACTGAACTAAATCAATCACATTTTCTAAAAAAATTAATTGGTAACAATAGTAACATATTCTTACTTGACAGAAAAATTCTCAAATATTGAAATTGATTTCTTTGATTAAGATTGTTATTTATAATTTATATTTATTAGTCAGTTCTAGTAATGTAGTAAAATTGAAAGAATATTTCATCACTATTTATATCAGTATTTAATTAAATTAAAATCTAGGACACATCTTTTAGTAAATTAGTTATTTTTTTTTTAACGATAACTGTATAAAGTTGTTAACTCAAATTTTATTCAAGTAAATTTCTTAATACATTTTCTATATCTCAGAATGTATATAACCAAAAGCAGTGGCGCAACTAGAGGTGGGGTTTGGGGGTTTTAATCCTCCTCAAAAAAGAGATTTTTACAAATTCTACGTAGGAAAAAATTGTTTATGTTGAACACACGAAACGGCTGATTTATATGAAATATAAATATTATTCGTATTATAATTGATAACAATAATAACATGGAATGTTTTGTTATGTTCCGTTCAACTTAAAACATCAATAACCTTACTACGATTTCTCGATAGTCGATTGTATAATACTTTTTTTTGTGGTATCACAATATGAAATAGAAGTTAAACAGTTTAATTTTTAATTTTAATATTTTACTAATAAACCTAACATAATCTTACTTCCTTATCCCCGCCAAACACCTACAGAAAATGCTTACATTTTCCATATTCACAACCCCCCTCCCAATGGTTGCGCCACAGACCAAAAGTGCATGCAATTTTATAATAAATACTAAAATCACATAATTTATATATTAAAAATTGTTAGATACCACTATTTTTATAATTATAATTATTATTAAAACGCATCATAAAAATTTCTTAGAAACTGTATTGTAAAATATACGAACACAAAGCCTCTTATATTGATTGCAGTACTTTGCTACTCTAATGCTACGTTACTTTAACAAACTTTGTAGAATGTAACGATAACAAGTACTTTTGGAATTTGTGATTCTATCAATATCCATAAAATGCATAAAATATTTAAGTACAATAATCATTAAAAGTCGACGAAAAGAGAAAGAAAAAACTACTAGATTATCACAACACGGCAACACATTGATACAACTAACGCTATTGACACGAACGCCATAGGTCTAAAGATTGATGATAACAGCGATAGAGGTTTATGTTTCTTGCACTAACATTAATTTTAACGACTTGCAATTTGTACAAAATAAATAATCGAACAAATGTGAAAGAACAGAAAATAAAAACTCAATGTTATCCTATTTCACAAAACCGACTTTATATTATCGGTTCGTACATTTTTTGTTTTTATTATTTGGGTAACGTTAAAAATAAACGAGGGTTTCTTATGCAAGTCAAAAATTGATTGATGTAATACTCTATTAATGTAAAACAAAATTACCTAAGCCAGTGACTTACCTAACGAATAAGAAATATTATAATTATATTATATTATTAACCTTCCATTTCTTTTTATCAATTAATATAAATTACAACATATGTCTTCTTCGCATTAAATACTAATTGCCCAATTTGTATCTTTTGTTGCATATCTTTACTATTTACTATCATCCTTATGATGTTATCAGTAGATTGATTACTAGAACTTAGCCATGTGCTTGGCGCTTATTAGTAAACGGCGTTTACCTACACAATTGTGAATGTTTGGAAATGTTTGCGTAAAATAATTAAATACAAACATTTTTCCTCGAGAAATGGATAGTCCATTAATATATAATCTGAGTTGTGGAAAATCATTACCAGAAGTAAGTTGTTTTGTAGTGAAATATTAATCCTTCAACTGTTAATAATAATGTAGGTAGTTCAGTTATTTATTATTTGTACAGCGTTTTCATGGATTCTAATAAGAACCATTACATTCTTAATTTTTTATTCAATAGCTTTTTTAAAACGATAACTAAACTTCAAATGTTTTTCTAAAAATTTTAAATCAATAAGAAAGAATTGTATAGCCATACTATTGCAATTAGTCTTTATTTTACTATAAAATTGTTTACTGATTATGATATTTTCATGTACTTACATTTGTTTTAAAATATTTTTCTTTTATTCCTTGTACATTACATTGATATACTTACTAAAATATTTAATATTGAACTTATTATGTACGTTACTCTTCTTTTTATCCTAAGATATTAATTTTTTTGTAAAGAATTTATACTTTATCACTAAATATATTATTTTTATATATTTAACTAATTAAGATAATAAAACTTAAACAGCTTTTACAATGAAAGAATTTTTAATTTAGTCCTATACAAATATAACTTTATGTTATACTACTAGTACATCTTATACTTAAAAAAAAAACAAAATATTATTTCCTAGAATATTTTCCAATTTACTCAAATTTTTCTTAGTTACCTATTTATTTTGAAAATTAAATTATTTTTTTATTATAGTGGCTTTCAGAAAGAAAAAGAAGAACACTTTTAAAGAAAAATCCTGGTAACTATTTAAATAATTAAGTTATATTGTAAAATGTTTTTTTTTTTATTTTTTTATGTTAATAAATGAAACAAAAAAATTATTTTAACTTGGTCTAACATTTTAGTTACAATAGAAAATATAAAAATTGCTAAAACTTTCTTAAGAAAAAAAAAAATGTGCTCACTAAATCAGTGGTCGCCAACCTATTAGGCGTCACGGACCACTATATCTATAACTATAATAAAGGATTTATTTTTATTTTTATTTTTTATTACTTATTACATTTTCATATAATATTGGTGCTGATAATAAACTAAGGTAAACAAAAGGTTTATACAATTTAAAATAATTTTCAAAATTTTCCGCAACATCCAACATTTCAACATGAACCACTGATTGGTGATCCATTAAAAAAAATTAAATTACAATCTACATTTATAATTTATACTTGAATATAATTATAAATCAATTTTTAATTCATCTTATCTCTTTTAGAATTGAAAAGAAGAATTGAATTAATACAAGACTTTGATATGCCTGGTCTTAGTACAACAGTAAAAGTAACAAAAGATGATCAATACATATTAGCTACTGGTATTTATAAGCCTAGAATTAAGTGTTATGATGTCAGTAATTTAGCCATGAAATTTGAAAGATGCTTCGATTCTGAAGCTGTTACCTTTGAAATTCTCTCCAATGATTATAGCAAAGTATGTAATGATTTAAATAAACAAGAGGTTTACAGATTTATTTAAGTAGATACTAATATTTTGTTATTTTTCAAGCTGGTGATATTACAATGTGACCGTTATGTTGAATTTCATTCTCAAGAAGGACGCTATTATAGATTACGTATTCCAAAATTTGGTCGTGATATGAAGTATCATTATCCTACATGTGACTTATATATTGGAGGAAGCAGGTAAATTAATTTATTGTATTATTATGTTTCTAAATGAACCATAATAAATTATGTCCATAATCATCTTAATTTACATTGAATAATGTTCATTTTTAATTTTAGACATTACAATGCTTAATATTGAATAAACATTTAAAAAAAATATTTTAACTTTTTTTTATACTATTTACTAAAGTCATTAAAATTATTTTTATTTCATAATTATGCCTTAACTATAAGAATAGTTCTAGATGATTTTTTAATAAATTTCTACTTATTTTTATTTTATCCTAAGCTTTCAAAATTAAATAATGCAAGTATTGGTTATACTAAAAACTTTTTAAAATCATTGGATCATTAATATATTATAATTTAAAAATATTGTTTTTATTTTATAGAATTATGTTATTAAACATTATACTATAAAAAGTATATTATTATCAGTGTTGGGGAGTAACTTAACTTAAGTTACAAGTTACTGTAACAAAATTACTTTTTAAGTAATTTGATGGTAATTTAATTACATTTTATTGTAAGTAATTTAAATTACTTTTTTGTAGTAATTATTATTAAAATACTTGTTACTTTTTTTTGATTTAATATATGTTAAGAACAATAAAAGTTTAAAGATATGTCCGTAATGGAAAAATAAGAAGCCACTGACATACTTCAAAATTAAATAGAATATTTCAAACCTGTTAATGATAATACTTTAGATCAAAATCAAGTTGAGGAAGTCAATGATAACATTATTTTTGATGAATTATAAAACAAGAGCATTCTAATGCTGAACTTGAACGTTTTTTATTTACTTCTTTTAATGATGATTTAACTATTTTAAAAAACATGCCAATGAGATTAATTTTTTTGAAGTATAATACTGCTTTACCCTCAAGTGCTTTTGTTGAACATTTGTTAATTATAGCAGGAGATATATACAATAAAAAGCAATCTAAAATTAGTGACTGTAATTTTGAAAACGCATTGTTGTTTAAAATAAATTTTAAAAATAAAGATTAATATTTAATGTATAGCGAAATTACTATGAATTGTTAATAATTTCATATTGTTGATTGTCATTATTAGGTTTGTGTATTATCATATAGATAAAAATATTAAGCTTCAGTGATATTTTAAAAAAAAAGTAACTTTTATTGTAATTGAGTTACTTTTAAAACTCATAAGTATTGTAACTTGACAAAATGAAAAAAAAAATAACTTAAAATAATTTAGTTATAATTTTTTTTAGTAATTAGTAATGTAATTTAATTTCTAAAATAAGTAACTTTCCCAACACTGATTATTATTATTATATAACATTTATGTTATTATATACTATTATAATTATGGCATTTTGTGTTTGAAAATATAAATGTTTTTGGTTTTCAGTTCTGATATTTATAGATTAAATTTAGATAGAGGACAATTTTTAAATCCATTTGTATCAAGTGCTGGTGATGAAATAAATAAATTAGCCATAAACCCTCTACATAATATGTTTATAACTGGTACCAAGGAAGGGAAGGTTGAAGCATGGGATCCAAGAGCTCATGTCAGTATTGGTGTTCTAGATTGTGCTCTTAACTCTGTCACTAATGACACAAATATTGCGTAAGCATATAAAGCTAAAACTAATTGTTTATAATTTAATATTTTATACTCTTCAATTTTAGTTCTGATGGATTTCCTTCTGTAACTGCATTGGAATTTGAAAATGCATTAACATTAGGTGTTGGTACTGCTACTGGTCAAATACTTTTATATGACATTCGTTCTAATAAGCCTTTTAGGGTTAAAGATCACTTATTTGGATTACCTATTAGAGATATTGCGTTCCAAGAGGACAATGTATTATCTATGGACTCGTCATCGGTGAAAATTTGGAATAAAAACACAGTGGGTCTTAATATTTAATAAAAAAATTAACTTTAATCATACTAATAAAACATAACAAATATCTGGTTTAAAACTAGGGAAAACTATTTGCTGCCTTGGAATCTGGTAATGATACTCAATTCAATAATCTTTGTGTTGTTCCAAAAACTGGAATGTTGTTCATTGCTAATGAAAATACAAAAATTCAAACACATTACATACCGGTTTGTTTTCTTACTAAGTATATTTATATATATATATACTTAATACTCGTAGTTTTATTGTTTTCATACAGAACTATTTCTATTTGTATGTGTATAGAGCTTAGGTCCAGCTCCAAGATGGTGTGGATTCTTAGATGCTTTGGTAGAGGAATTAGAAGAAACAAAAAAAGAAACTGTATATGATGATTATAAATTTGTGACTCGAAATGAACTTGAAGAACTGGGCCTATCACATTTAATAGGTATAAATATATTTATAAAAACTACATTTTATAAAAGTTCAAACAAAATATATATATATAACATTTAATATTTATTTAGGAACAAACTTATTAAAAGCTTATATGCATGGATATTTTGTGGATATCAGGCTATATAGAAAAGCCAAATCTGTTGCTGAACCATTTGCTTTTGAAGAGTACCGAAGAAAAAAGATTCGAGAAAAAATTGAATCTGAAAGAACTAATCGTGTACAAGTTCAGGTAACAAATGAATTAATATATTGAATCTAATTTCGCCTAAAGTTTACTATAATACTCATTTAATTTAAAATTTTTAGAAATTACCCGCTGTGAACAAAGAACTTGCATTGAAATTAATTAATGATGAAAAAGAAGGAAAGAAAAAGAGTAAATCTAAAAATAGCGTTAGCTTATTAAAAGATGATAGGTTTAAAGCATTGTTTGAAAATCCTGCATTCCAAGTTGATACAAATGCTGAAGAATATAAGTAATTACATTTTTTTTACCTTCCAACAATAATTGTATATATTATTTAACAGAAATATATTTCTCTGCTATAAGTTTTTCAATAATGCTTTAATGTATAAAAATGTATATACTGCAAACTTCACTAAAATAAATACATTTAAATAAATAGGTTATTACAATTAATTAAATTATTTCTTATCCATTCATAATTTTAATGAAATAATTTATTTCAAAATGTAATTCCATACACTTAATATCAAACTTAATGCAATTATCTTTTTGAAGATTCTAAAATTATTTTTTAAACAAAAATGTATAGTTGATAAAATAAACTTAAATTAAAGTTTTTACTATTAATACAAATTGTGTTTATAGATTACTGAATCCAGTTTTGAAGCGATTGGATAAATCAAAACAAAAAGAACTTGAATCACAAATTCAAAAACAATTTGAACAAGTTGAAGTATGTATTTTTGATTATCATTCAACCTATTTAATATATTTTTTTTATATATATATATATACCTCACACTAAAATGATGTAACTTAAATGAATTGGTATGATTATATTATAAATCTTACTAAAAACTATTTAAAGTTGGTTTTATCTCAAAGAATAAAATTATAGTTACTTATTGATAAATTTAAACTGATTTCAGGATGAAATTGAAGGTAAACCAAGTTCTGAAGAAAGTAGTGATGAATATAGTTCAGATGATGACCAAAAATGGACTAAGGAATTGAAGTCTGAGTATAGGTCAGCTAAAAGAAGAAGAATTGCCTCTGAACGCCAAGAACGAAAAAACACTGAAAAAGAAAGTAATTATGACAATGATAGTGATGATGATTCAAGTATACGCAGTGAACCTACAGTTAAACCACCAAAATTCTATGAAATTAAAGAAGGAGAAGAATTTATTGGATCAAATAATAATTGTGTAAATTCTATTCAAAACTCTAGGTAATAAATACTGTAAATATTATAATAATTTTCACTTTTCAATTACTGTATAGCTAAACATATTAATGAATATTAATAAATCTAGTGCTACTCTGGGTGAAAGAATAGATCTTGAAAATTTCCATTCAGTCAAAATGCTTTCAAGTGGAAATCGACAGTTGACATTTTCTACTCAAAAGGTAATATTCCTTTTACTTTAGAAAGAAATTAATTACTAAATACAAAAAAATTATTATACTTTAATGTACGTAATTTTTGTTGTAGGAAAAAAAATATCAAAAGGCTGATTTACAAGCAGAGAAACACAAAAAAGAACGACAAAATATAATTAGAAAAGGTCCTAAAAACCTTCGCAAGCCTAAATTTTATGCTGGTCCTAAAAATAAAACTTTTTATAAAAAAAGAAAATAATTTAATTTTGTGATAATTTATTGCACATGTATTTAAAACAATTTTATTAAATAAACTTTAATACAATCACTTATTATAATTACTTTTCTTGTGATATTTATATAAAGGCTTCAAGCATCTTCCATTGGTTTTGCTATTAATATTATTATTGTTGATGAAAAAAAAAGTTTTATGTTTTAATTATTGTTGTCTGGTAAATGTTTTTTGCGTATATTGTATACTTTCGATACTTTGTACATGAATATATCAACTATCCAAAAACAAATAAAAACACCACTGATATTGGACAAGAATTGAGTGAATAAATGACCCAATAACCTGATAAAATAAAACGATTAATAGTAAAATACAATGTGTATTATTGTTCTTCGCCTACTTATAAATTATTAATTTAATAGGATTAAAAACAAACCTTGGTTTTTCAGTCAATTTAATCATAATGGGTGAAAATTCATAGCTAAAAAATATTCCTGGTGCACCTGACTGACCTGAATCTGATGACAAAACCTAAAAAAAATTATTAATATAAATCATTGTTTTATAATAAAATCCATTACATATAAACTAAACCACAATTTATGACACTTAACTAAGTTGAAAATTTTGATTTTTTTTTTTTTTTTTTTTGAAAATCTAATACCTGAGTTTGTGTAAATAAACTAAGGCTACAATTTTCATATAATATAAATAAAAATACAACAACAATATATAAAAATATAAAATAATATTTTTTAGAACCATACATCCACATTCAGAACGATTTATTCCTAAAATAATTCCATCCATCTACTCATTAACTTGATGTCCTAATAATGATTTCATACTATGTAAAATATATCTATACTACAAATTAAAATATGAAGATTTATAAATATGTGATCATCAACCAAACAACATTTAGAAAAACGGTTTTCGATTTAAGAAGAATTGAATATGAAACATTATTATACTACACTACATATAAGATAATGTATTATTCTGTTTCATTAAAAAAAAAAAAACCTGATATTATAGTTATAATTGTTCTTCATTTAATGATAACATTTAAAATTCATTCATAAATACCCTAAAACAAACACTAATAATCCTCTTAATCTTTTAATCCTTAAAGTTACTTTAAATTTAAATTTCAATAATACAAAATTATATGTTATTTTTACTATTCAACTTTCTTTATTTTTTTAAAATTATAATGAATTTGAGCATTTTTTTATTGAAAGTTCAATTCATAAGTATAAAAACATGACATTTTATATTTTTATATTAATGTATTTAAAATCAGAGCACCTAAGAGTAAAAATATTATATAATGGCATTGATTATATAGATATTATATAGATTAAATATTATAGACAAATTATCTATAATCTATAATAAAAGTCAAAAATATTGTTTCAATTTAAAACCATATATTTTTGTCAAAACTCGTAAAATTGTAAATTATAATTTACCGTATGTTTAGTCACAGAAAACTGATTAGTAGAAAATATAGAATTATCTCTTCTTTGAAATAGCGTTGGAACGATTTTGATATAATACTGGAACATAGTGGCTCCTACAAAATACAATATATTCAAAATTAAGAGTGCAATACATTAACACAATATTTAATACAAATTTGTTACGTCTATACTTATTATTTGATAAACGTTTTATTAACATGAATATAATAAGAGTTAAAAAGTGAAAATTATATAACATATACCTAGTAAATAGTATTCATCAGTATTTATTAAACATTAAACAAATATAAATCAATATGTGTGTGATTAATAATTATTAGGTAAGTCATTATTTGTGTGTAACGAAATGTTTTTGTAAGGTGATAAATAAATTTAGAAAATATTTGTTTTCAAATTTTAATCATGACAGTTTAAAAACCTTATCGAATATTTTATAAAAATATTTTGTTGATTTTGTTTATAAAATTGAAATTTCATTTGAAATGAATCGCCAATTTAGAAAATTACCCTTAAATTAATTATGAAAAAAACAGCATAAAAAGATGCACTATAGTGCATTAACTTTTTTTTGCAGATACACTCGTTTTTTTTACAAATGCGACGTTTAAAATAATTCTTCATCATAACAATTACAAATTTTCATTTCAAATTTCTCTATAATTTATTTAGAAAACTAACAGAAAACTGAAGATCAAAAGTAACTTGTTTTATTATAATTTATTTTTTGACTTGTTCAATAGTAACAACGTTGTACAAGTCTATACGATCAATGCATCTACTATGTGGTATACTTATTAGGGATGGTAACGATATTTCTATATAGATTCGTACTTCGATAGTCAAGGTAAAAATATAACACATTTTATAATTATCAAAATTATGCAAATCCTTAATATATTTTAACTTAAATAATAGCATTGATAATAGAATAGACTATTTTATAATCAATAATACTAGGTATTCGATACTAGCTCTTCATATTTCAAACTCGTAAAATTTGTAAATTTTAACTTAAACATCGGAGAAAATTTCGGGGGGGGGGTACAACCCCTTAACCTCCCCAGCGTACGCCACTGACTATGCTGATTAGATATAATATTATGATATAGCAGGCGCGTACAAAAAAAAAATATTTTAGGGAAGGTTTTAGGTTGTATATTTTTATACATATATAATTTATAATCCACTTTTACTCTATAAAAATTAATGTTCAATACAAAATAAGTTGTTTATCCAAAAAATGTATTGCTACCAAGCTAATCCTTTCTGTGTTTAAACTTTAAATAGGCTTTGAAGCTTAAATTTTAGCTTGAAAATGTTAACTTAATATTCATGTATAGGTCAGTAAAAATATTTGCTGCTCCCGACTTGAAACTGCGTATCCCTATGAGAATTACATGAATCAGCTACCTCCATACATAAATGTATATTATATTAATAAATACACATATATCTGTACGATATAAATTAATGCAACTGTTCCTCCATATGACCATGGTAATACTCAGCTAATGATAAACGATGTATATAACAAAATATGATAACAACATGATACGTGATAATATTAATGGTAAAACGTGAAAAATATTACATACCTAGTCCATTATAAAATTTATAATTATTAAAGACATAATCTTGTAAAATTCAAAACATGCCGGTACCTAGTTCAAGTTATTATGGAGGAATGCAAAAACCGTCTTGTTATGATAGAGTTTCAAATTCATTTATGATGGGAGCGACAATTGGTATCACGATCGGAATGTTATTTGGCGGTTTGGGAGGCTTAAGGTATTTTCTTATTCGTAATGTTATTCGATTAATTTTTACATTTTATTTCAAATGCATTTTGAATTAAATCTATTTTTCAATGTAGATCTGGGTTCAGGGGCCGAGAGCTGATTAGCAAAATGGGCAAAACTATGTTACAGAGCGGTGGAACATTTGGCACATTTATGGGTGTTGGCGCTGCACTTAGATGTTAATAAATTATTCAACGTGACTGGATAACATACATTTACTACAAATAATTTATGACATTTGTTTTTTTTTTTAATTTTTAAAGATAATATTTTTGATTTAACTACAGCAAATAATTCATTATGTTTAGAATTTCATGTTAGTTTTTAAAATGTAATAAATCACTTTATGTTATACATTTAATTTTATCTCCATTTAAAATAATTAAATTGTTTTTGAAGAAACGTTAAATAAGTATTATTAACTAATTTAGTATAAATGACTCCTAATTTACCTTTCTAGTATAAAATGTAAACTAAATTTCTATCAATATCCAGTACTCCTATGGTTTATTAAACACCATACATCATAAATATGTCTAGTCCTTAGTTCCTACCAGTTTATTTTATTGTGATTTGTGTATTAATGTTAGTATAATTTACTATAATTTACCGAGGAGCCAAATTAACAAAATTTAAAAAATTAAACATGAACTTAACATAACAGAAATAAAATTCAATTATTTTCATGACTTCAACCGGTAAGGTTGTGTTGTTCATATAGTTTGTTTCGTTATCAAATATGCCGTGTGTGTCGTGTCAATTAAGTGTCTCGCCTGCGAAAAAGGTAATCTGTTTTGACTTTAATAATTATTATCATAAAACCTGCTCCAATAATTATGATGTAAAAACATAAATTAACCTGGTTATGTGTAACATGTGAACAAACCGCATCATTAAAAGAAATATTAGTAACAGAAGACACGTGACAAATAATTCCAATGGAATAAATAATGGAAAAAATGGTGATTCTGATATCAATGATTTGAGGGATGATACATCTATTTTACTTAAAAAAATTGAGAATTTAACAGCTACTAATATCGAAATTAAAAAGTCAGTGAATTTTTGCTTTGAAAAAATTGATGATTATGGAAAAAAAATTGATAGTCTTTTCAAAATTGAAAATTCTAAAAGATAAAATAAATGATATTGATTGAAGATATAACAGTCTTGAAAAAGTGTTTCAAGCTTTCAAAATTAATATTAATAACTGTGAACAGTTGTCATTAACTAATAATATATCAGTGAACTACAAATCAGTACAATCTGCCGATGAATACAAATGGAAATATGTTTGGTCTCATTCAAACGGTATATATGTGGGGAAAAGTGACGGGGACTCAGCTATCAAAATACAGACTATTAATGATCTAAAGAAACTTTATATTGAAGGAATACTGATTAAGCTCTTATCTTCTAGTAATAACTTATTATTAAATTATTAGTTCCTTATCTTTTTTTTTTTTATTTATGATATTAATTGTATAAATGAAATAAATTCAATTTATATTGATAATCTAGCAAATTGCCAAATGGTAAGTAAAAATATTTATAAAGATTTTTTAAATTAATTTATGTAATTAAAAGATAAATCTATGGTTACAAATAATTGATAAAAACAAATGTATTACTTACCTTCCTCAGCAAAGGATTCAGTTGAATCTAAAGGATTGCCGCCATGACTAGAAACTGATTCTAATTTTTGTCCAAATGATAAATGCCGTATAATATGACTTACATTAAATGAAGATGATGAAAATGGATGTACATCATGAACTAAGACATTGAAAAACAACAAGATATTAATTTCAAATGAAAAATCATTTAATTTCAAATTTATTACTATAATCCAGATTATTTCATCAATGATTAAATATAAATTAAACCAAAACTGTTGTATAATTACATTTAATGTCTAGTAAAGAAAAGTTAATATTTTTTTCTACTTACCATGCATATGATTAAAAGAAAAACTTGTCCCTGGAGCAATATGAAAACTTCCACTAACCTAAAAAACATTAGATCCAAAGTAAGTAGTATAAATAAAAACTAATTTTTTATATGTAATATTCAATAATTATTTTTAATAAAATTATATTTCTTTACAATGAAATACAAATATATTTTTTTTATTTAAAAATAACCAATTAGTAATACATAATTATAATATACAAATCATATTTTGTTGGTTTATCTACCACCTTTAAGCAGAGCTTGAGTTGGAGATATAATAAAGAAATGCAGAACAAACAAAGAAAAAAGAAAATAACATGCAATAGCTGAGAAACTCTGAAACAATTGGTTCCGAGAGCATCACTGAATTTCTCAAGATCGCAGAAATATTTAAATACATATAATAAGTTTCCATACTGTAAATATCAAACACTTTGTAAAATAATGTAAATATTCATTAGAAAAAGCTAATAGCTGTTGGCATAGAAGCAAATAATAAATAAAAAAAAAAAATTACAAATAAAAATAAAAATTTAAGTTACTTCCTCTTTATTTTAAGAAAGCTATAATACTTACCCTGTTAACTTGAAGGGTGCCAAATATTTCACAACCTTCTTTAAATGCTTTGTCATACATATCATTTTGAGTAGATTGGTTCTTACATTGTTCAATACTATATGGATGTAAATCCCAATTTTTCATTTTATAGGCTCTTTTAACATCATCACATGTATTGCAACAACTAAAGAATAAATATTTAAAGGGTAAAAAAAAAATAAAATAGTTTTATGGTAAATACTCTTAACATATTAAACATAGGAAGTATAATACAAAATTTAACTTACATATTTAAAAAAAAAAATTATAAATGTATAAAACAAAATCCTTTAATTATTATTATTTATTTTAGGATGAAATACCATAACAATAATTAATATTTAATAACCAAGAAATTTCTAAAACTTCATTCTTCCACTAAACTTGTAAAAACTTGTAAAATGTAAGCAATTTCAATTTTAATTTTTTAATCCTAAAAAATCTTAAATATTTGCATTTGTAATAGTATTACATGTTATAATTTTTATTTTTACTGACATCATCTGAAATATTTTATAATTTTTAATAAATTGTTTTTATAATTAATAATACTTTGTGATTAATAAGTATATATGAAATGGATTTTTTGCAAACAAATTAATATTTAAATAAAATTGTTTAAAATACGAAGTGGTATAAATATTATACAATATATTCTAAATATAGACTAAATATCTAGATTGTACTTACGGAGTGCTTGGACTTTCAGCCCCATAACAACTTCCACAATGACCTTTTTCTGCAGTATTATTAGCTTGGTTTGATTCATTTATTACTAATTTAGTTGACTAATAGAGGAATAATTAAATATTTTTTATTATAAATAATAAATAATTAATAATAAAGTGCTTATAACTTTTAGAAATTAGTAACAACATATCTATGTTGAAGATGCATTAAAAAAAATGTAACTTTTTCATATTAATTTTTTCATTGAATAATTGTTATTAATACTATTAATGAAGAGTAATTGATAAACATAAATCTATTTAAATTATTACTTAAAAATTAATATTGTTTTTAACTGAGCAATTAATTTATTATAACTATTTTTTGTATAATTACTTTCAATATTAAAAAAGTTAATTCGATTAATCTCAAAAAATTTAACTATATACCTAAGTATATTTATAAATCTAAATTTATATATATTAATAAACATAATAATATATGTGCTTTATATAACATTATCTTACAGTGATCTACAGATTATCTAAAATTGTATTTGGTAGTCAACAGTAAAAATATTAAATGTTCATAAATTTTAGGTAACTCCATAAAGTTAATACTTACGTTATTTATTTTTTTACTGCCAACATCTAAACAAAAATTATTAATAAGTATAAGTTACAATGAATAGAATATTTTTTTAATGTATTTCTCCAATTAAATGGAACATACAATTTATATTTTTTATTTCATAAAGATTCCAATTAATATGTTATATTATTTTCTCAATTGATCAATAAAATAAAATATATTTAGTTATATTACTGATATTCACATAGGTTATGCTGGCCTGAACTTTTTTTTTAGGTTTTTAAAATTTTAAGTTTTTTTTTTAGGTTTATGCTTTTTAGGCTACCTATTTTATAGAAAAATCATTATTATTTATATTTTTCTCATGTACCTGTTTATCATGAAAATAATTGTTTTAAAATGATCAGTTAATAAATATAATCTATATTGATTTGGATTATTTCGTTGCACTACATTTTTTTTTTTTTTAGTGTTGTTACTTGTAGTAGTGTTTTGTACATATAACGCCTCGGACTATATTAAGTTTTTGTAATTACATACAACTATTTTTTATTCGATAACTCAGTATGTGTATGTGTAATAACTCAAAAATCAATAAATCACTAAATTAAAAATTAGAATTAATTGAATCTAGTTAAAAAGATAAATGATCAATAAAATAAATTAGAGAACTTTTCAAGTGTCGAAAAATCACGTCTATAATATATAAAAGCAAACAAAAAGAAATAAAAGAACAATGGATGAATGATAAGTTTAACCATTGATTATGAATAGTAATCAATAGTAATTATGGATACTATCCATAATCAATGGTTTAACTATACAAATATTATAAAATAATTTATATTTTAGAAAATGAAAAGAAAACCAACATCAAATGCAAATAATTGGGAGTAATTTAAAAGTGCTGGAGCATAAAATTTATTAATTTCTAGATCAATTATACAGTTTAAATAACGTCAAATTGTTGAACAAATATCATACGGTATTCAAAGCATCAAATGGATTGGAAAATATTAAAAAATGTAGAAAAATTTTGAAAGTGTACTTAAATACTAAAATTTTCATTTTTAAATATATAATTTTTAATTTTAAAATAATTTTTAACTACATATGTAAAATAAAAAGTTAATAATATTTAATGTATAATAAAAAATATTTATTGTAACTAGAGATGTTATGAACTGTTCGGTTCGGAAACCGAACTGAAAATCGAAAAAAATCGAACCGAACTATGTACCAAATAGTTCGTCTTAAATACATCTTAAATAGTGGACTATGATCTTATCTCCAGTAACCTGTACTTTCTAGACTTCAAAGCACATGCAGTATTCGACATAATATTCGTACCGTATTTCTTTATATAATTAAAATATGGGTACCTACATAGGTGTATAAAAGAAATTTAAACTATAATGAATAAAAAATATAAATTTTAGACATTTTTAAAATTAAAAATATAATCTGTAGGTACCTAAATTTACATATATCTATTCTATATTAGTTACCAAGATAAAAAAAAACTAATTGCTTAAAATAATAATTAATTAATTTTTCAATTTTTATAACAGTTTTACTCTATACATGCAATGCCTAAGAGAATTAATGCGTTTGAGCGGCTAATTGGATCTACTCAATCACATGACATTCAACTAAGTTGTAATAATAATTTTGATATTGATGATCCAGAGCAAGAGAAAACTGAAATTATAAATTAAGAAGATGAACGAAGTTTAATGCCAACAGAAGAAGCAGTAGACCAAACAATAAATCAAAGGTTGATTTATAACTTTTTTACCAAGATAAGCATTGACCAGTAAATTTGTAATACTTGTAAAAAGGTACTAAAAAGTCCTTCATCAACAACAACCACTCTAGTAAGGCATCTTAAAATTCACACCAAGAAATATTCTGAATATCAAGCATACTATGATAAAAAAAAATAAAAAAAAAAAATGAAAAATGAACTATTATTGAAAAGAAAAAACAAAGTCATTACACTAAAACAGAACACAATTCTGACTTCATTCAACTCTAAGTCATACTTATCAGTCCAAGGGCTAAATTAATAACCAAAAATATAAGTGAAATGATTGCATTAGATTATCAATCATACTCGATCGTTGAAGACCATGGATTTAGGAACTTAATGAAAACATTAGAGAGCAAGTATAAATTATCAACTAGATAATATTTATCTAGTACTGCAATTCCTAAGCTGTATTCAAAAAGATTATCTCAACTCAAAGAAGAAATAAACACTGATTTGTATAGTATGCGATCCATATCATTTACTTTCGATATCTAGATGAGTGGAGCATTGGCGCAACTAGGGGGGGTGCTTTGAGTCCTTAGCACCCCCTAAGTCAAAATCAGCACCCCCTAAAAAATCGTTTAAAAACGTAATAAAGAAGTTGAATATTTATCGAATTTCAATTATAACATAATAGTAATTTTTGTATTATAACATTTTGTTATTTATAATGTTGAATTGGATGTGTTGATTTTAATTTAGTAAAGATAAGGATGCCGGAGCGGTCAAGTTATTTTAAATAGTCTGTGCTAAATATATCTATATGGTATATTATTGCCTAACATACTAATATAATCTGGTATTCCCAAGGGACGGAAATAGTCTCGTCATTATGACGTGTGGCATACGGGTGATACGCCGATATACCACAACAAACACAGCACAGTCTACTAGGATACTAAGATTTATAATAAATCATTTTAGGTTACAGTGTGTGTAGGTAACTCAAAACACTACATTTACGTATTACGTATGTTGTGTTAGAGACGTTTCTAAGTTTCTTATATTATTATTTATAATTGCTAATAATAATATATCGATCAATATTACATCGTCAATTGTATGTTTATTACTACTTACGAGTGTTAATTAATCTATTTTAATCATGTATTCAATCTTTAATTTTAAAAACAAAATTAAACAAAATACATCAACACGAAAAAATAATTTGGACGAGACTGCCGAAACTCATAGTGATGAATTAAAAGCAAAGAAAATATGTAACCATGAACTGAATGATGGGCATAATGATGATGATGAAAACATTCAATTAAAAAATAATGTTTTAAATTTGAATATACCGTCTGTTGATTTGGATGATATTGATAAACTAAAACTAAACTTCAAGTAAGTAAAAATTAAATAATAGTGTAATAAAAATAAAACAAGAAATAACGCGATTCTTGATTAATACATAATGACATATTATGTATGTATGTATATTAAATTGTTTTGACGTACCTAGTCTTATTTTATTTTATTATTTTATTTATTCTAGATATTTCCACTAACACAATTTGGACCTCAAAATAGAAGTTTTAATGCTAAACACTATAGTGAATTTGAATGGTTAGAATATAGTATATCTCGTAATGCTGTGTTTTGTTTTAATTGCATTCATTTTACAAAGAATTTAAAAAGTGACATTTTAATTACAACTGGATACAAAAATTGGAGAAAAGTATGTTTTTTGTTTGGATATTTGTTTAAATAAATTAAAAATAATAATTGTTTAGAAATCATAGGCATAAAGTTAACATGTTCATCAAAAGTAAAATACCTAAGTTGATTAATAATTATTATGTACATGTATTTTTTTACTTTTATTTCATTATTTTAGTTGAATGAAAAATTGTTAAAACATTCAAAAACTGTTCTACATTTAACATCAATTGTTCAGTATAATAGCTATAAAAGTTCAAAATTGACTGGTACTATAGTTACTCAATTAACAACTGCTAAAAAAAATGAAATTTTAAAGAATATACAGTATATGAAAGTTCTTATAAATATAACCCTCTTTTGTGCTAAACAGGGACTTGCTCTAAAGGCCCCCATACACGATCAAACAGTTTGCGCAACTACTATGTTTGCGCAAGCATTTTGATCGTGTATGGAATGGATTGAGTAGTTGCGCAACTGTTTGAAACCAAGCTTGAGGTTTTCGGTCGGGTCCGAAATATTTTGTGAAATGCTCGATGATTGATAAGCGGTTTGAACGTGTATGTCAGTGTTTGACAAGCGTCTGTGGTGGAAATATCATATTGTGTTGTTTAAAATTGCCATTTCTTGTAATTCTCCAAACGTATCAGCATCCATTCGAAGATAGTTTTTGTAGTCAACTATTGAACTTAATTTGAGTTCTGATACTAAACGGTCATGACCGGTCTACCCTCTTCTTTAGCCATTCCTTCATCCATATTCTCTGCTTTCTTTTCGGTCAAACAGACAATAATTATCGCGGCGCAAGCAATTTCTGTGTCAGACATTATGTCTACGTAATATACAAAAACGTACTGAGGACTGAGGTTCACACAAACCGCTTGACTGTGTATGTACGTGTGTTTACACAACCATGTTTTTGCGCAAACTGTTTGATCGTGTATGGGTGCCTTAAGAGGTCATGATGAAAAGTCATCAACAGTTTCTAATACTGGTGGGAAGATATGTTTTTATTTTAGTACCACTACTACCACTTATAGTATAATAGTTTGTAAATCATAAATTATTTATCTACAGGAAATTTGAAAGAGCTTTGTACATTATTTGCGTTGAACGATAAAGAGTTTTCAGATTTTTTTAACAGAAAAATTAACTATACAAGTTGTATTATTCAAAATAGTATACTTGAAGTTTGTTCAAATATGACAATAAATACTATAATTAGCGAAATAAAAGACTGTTATTGAATTATTATTTTGAAATTGTTTAGGTGTAATTACATCTATAAGAAAATGAAAAGAATGTATTAAACTTAAATGTTTTCATGTTTCTGTTAAAACTGGCGTTGAAGGAAATGACATCTGTAATCAAGGTGTTAACATGAATAAAACAGAAAACAATAAACATTATTGGTGTTCTCATGCATATTATGCTATATTGGATGCAATTATAGACCACTTTGAGTTAAGGTTTTCAAAAGAGAGTTTAGAGATTGCAAATTCAATTGACAATTTCATTAAATTAAATATGAATAAAAGCATGATGTTCATTGATCATTACCAAGTAAGTCAATTAATAAATACATATAAATGGAATGTAATAATTGTTAAATACAATAATACACCTATAATTGTAAGTAATTATTAATTTATTTTATTAGGCATTATTTTCTATTGATAAAGAAGCATTACGTTGTGAAATGACTGTAGCACGCAACTGTGCCATACAGTTAAAACCAAATTTTGGTTTAGAAGAATTAAAAAAAATTATTTCAAAAGAAGTCTATCCTAATATTCATTCTTTACTTAAAGTAGCCTTGATACTACCTATCAGTTCTGCATCGTGTGAACGATCTTTCTCAGCCATGCGTCGTATCAAAAATTGGACTAGAACATCTATGACACAAGATTATTTCGGTAATTTTTCTATATTGCACATCGAGAGAGATATTGTTAACTATCTTGACCTCGATATTATACTAGACGAATACTCAAAGAAAGACCGTCGTATAGGTTTAATATTATAATAAAAATATGAATAAAATATATTATGTATCATGTAGAAAATATAATTATTTATAAATTGTTATAATATACTATTATTAATAAAAAATGAAATCAAAATAATTACTTTTAAGTGACTTTTCATGCTGGGTCCACACCAAGTATGACTTTTTTTTATTTCTGTTTTTAAAAACAATTTGTACTGTAGATCCAGAATTATGGTTTTTGTTTTTTTTTAGTGGTACATATAGGCAAATAGTGGTGTTATCTCCCATCAAGTCGCAAAAAAATCTGGAGCTTAAGCATCCCCTAGTTAAAATGTCTAGTTGCGCCAATGGAGTGGAGCTTAACAACCATATATATCACTTATATTACATTATTTGACTAAAGCAATTTGAGCTCCGTTACAAAACATTAGGATGTTCATACTTTCCAGGAAAACATACTGGAGAAAATATTTTTCTTAAAATCAAAACTATAGTAAATGAATGGAACATTGATATTTCAAACTTAAGAATTTCTATTTATATGGTCACAGACAATGCAAGAAATATAAAATATGGATTAAATACTTATAATGATAATGACACCCTACATCACTACTTTTGTGCAGCCCACACGTTACAATTGGCCATTGAAGATTCTTTAAAAGAAAACAATATGGGAAGTTTATTAAAAAAGTGTGGCTCAATTGTAATGCATTATAACCACAGCACCAAATCTTGGGAATGTTTGCAACAAATTCAATTACGATTAAATTTGCCAAATCATAAACTCATATAAATGGTCGAGTGCATTGTAGAGCAAAAAGAAGCAATTTTTTTGGATTTGCAAAATTTGTCAAATTATATTCATATTACACTAAGAAAGTGGAAACTTATTAAAGGATATGTTGAAATATTAAAGCCACAAAAGAATTTAGCCAACAATATATACCAACATTTTCAATGGTAAACCCAATTATATATTCCATAGAAAAAAATTGGACAATTTTAAGCTAATCTTTAGTCAATAATTCTGTCTAGGTATTATTCAATATTATGTCATTATTATTTAATACTTATTTAATATTCCTATAATTCAATAATGCCAAAATAATGAAAATATTATAAAAGGTTAGGTTTTTTAGCTTTCTGACTTTTTTAATGTTCGGTTCGAGTTTGATAAAATATTTGAAAGTTTAGTTCGATTCGGGTTTGGAAAAAATATGTAACTTCAGTTCGGTTCGGATTTGTTAATTATAAGAAAAGTTCGGTTCAACCTAATAAATCAGGGTTTATAACATCACTAATTGTAACTTTTTTTTTTGACGACCTGTATTAAATGGAAACCTGTCTAAAATAGGAAAAAAATTCAGTCCCGGCCGTTTCCATATTATACAGGTTTTTCTGTACCTCAATACATTTATAGTTTCTTAAATAGTATTCACAAGATAAAAACAATATTTATATTTTTCCCCTGGTAAAAATTTGTGTTTTTTTCTATTTATACCATTTACACTAGCATATGAGTATCTAAGTAAATGAGTAATTAATTTTTGGTGAAAGTGAAATACAACTGTAAGTTGTAATCATCAATAAAAAATATCAAAATAAATTTAGTTTTTGATGTACATCATACAGTTAAAGATTATGAGCTGGATTTCAAAGAAAACCTGGAAGACTAGTTGGATTATTCTCGTGCTACCTCTAAAACTTGAGTCTACTTACATACATGGAGTACAATATCTTTAATACATAGATAGTAGTGAATTAAAATACTTTTCAGTGTAAGAAATTCCTGTTTCATTTTATAAGGTCAGTTATTTAAATTTTTCAAAACTTTTGCTAATATTTCTATAAAAAAAATTAGTAACAGTAAGAAATTTCACTTTACAATATTCCATTATAATATTGTATACATTGAAAAATTAAATTCTATCAAATTAATTATCAAATAATTTTATAAACCAATAATAACTGACATCAAAACCATAATTCAAACTTTATCTAAAACATATAACCTTATACTTAATGATACTAATAAAAAAGTATTTCTTTAGTTTGTAATAAATTGTAATTTACCATCAGATTTTTCAGGATCACTAATATGCTGCCCATCTAAACTTAATCGTCTTTTATAAATATTATGATCCACCTGTAGATGTGTTTCACCTGAATTATCAACGGCATCTAACACTAAAACTAATTTTTTTTTTAGTGAAAAATATTTTCTATTATAACAAATAAAAATATATTAAACATACAATCACATGAGATTTTAGGAACAATAATATCAAAATTAATTTGTAATTTTTTGTTTCGTGATGTATCCACAAAAAGTTCTTCAGTAGGAGTGTTGTCAAGAAACTCTACTAAATTTGATATCATTAAAAATACAATGGTTAAAAAACAAACCACAGAAACTGAAAGAACAAAAATTAAATATTAATTAATTTAACACAATAATGTTAGTTCATAGATATACAAACAGAAATAATACAAATTAGATAAGGTATCAAATTTTCAACATAGCAGTGTTTTTTTTTCTACAGAAATAAAATGAATTAATATGATTATATATATATATATATATATATATATATATATAACTGGATAAAACAAATATTTTAAAAGACAACAGTAGTAAATTTATAAATGCAGCCTATGCATATAGTTGATATTTACCAACTAAACCAGAATATTTTTAATAAATGACTTAATTTTATATTAATATGAAATTAATATAAGACTTCTCTTAACGTAACATTTTTAGAAAAATTTAATTTGAAAAATAAAAAAATCTCAAATAAGATAAAGATTTTTTAGAAATATTTAAACCATCAAAATAAATATATCTTGTATCATATTAAGTGCAAAATTTATGAAGCATTATTTTTAAATTAAATTAATAAAAATTAATTATACTTAAATGTAACTTAAATTCATAATTATTTAAAATGTAAATTAAAATAAAAAAATATAATTCATAAAAGCAATATGTAAGAATATAAAATTTTTAATATTCTTTTACAGCTGTAGAACTAAAATCAAAGCACTAAATAAAAAAATTGTAAAAACAATTAATAGCAATGATTATTATGAAACAGATAAAATTAACATCTTATGTTAACAACTAATAAACATTTATAAAACAAATCATAATAATATTTTACCAATTCCTCCCCATACAGTTTTAATTTGAACTTCTTCTAATGGTTTGGCAAATGCATCAAATTGTTTTAATGTATTCATACAAAAAAAACTTTTCTTCGGCGACATTTTTTTAAATAAATTAGTTTTCAAGATATATATTTTTTGTTTAAATTTTTAAACACGTCAACTAAACTATAAACTATAATGTATATATAAGCCGAAATTATTTGTACACAGTATTATCATTTATCATTTTGTATCAGACGATATTTGTGATAATTCTATTTTACTATCTTTTATATCTCTTGGATATACGAATATGTAATTTATGTTGAAAACGGCTTCTAAGTGACTCGACCCGATAAAATCGTGTACAAAAATATTGAAATATTTTAACGTTATAATTTTATTCTGTGGATTTCTAATATAATTTAGATTTAGTATTGGTTATCTTTCTAATATTAACAAAGACGGACATGTTTAACTTTTATAGGCAAATTTTTGTTCTCGGTATACTGTCATTATTACATGCAGCTTATTCAGCGGCTCAACGTAAGTTTACTTTTAATGTTCTTTTCAATCGTGTCTGAATGTTTGATAGAAACGTTTATATTTTACAATTATAATATAAACGAATAAGCTATCATCATACATTTATTAAACATATTCTAATCCAAGTATGTTCGTTACATTTGTATACTGTGTCAGTATGAAAATGTATATATTATATTACTGCAGATAAATATTTTTTTTTGTGATTGGTATTTTAATTTCTTAAAGCTTTGAAATTGAAACAAATATTTAAAAAAAAAAATTTTCCCCAAGTTATAATATATATTTTATCAAATTATGAGCATTATTACAATTATAATGTATTTCTATGTTCATTAGAATATATTTAATTGCAACTTATAAAAATTATGTCAAGTATATATTTTATTTAACTATTTTTTAATCAAAATTATTAATCAATGTATAAAAATTAAAATAATCACAGTAAAAGTAAAATAAAATTTAATCAGTTTTTTAAGTTAAATTATTACTGATAACTATCAAGATTTCAATTATTCACAAAGTGAATTGCATAATTATAACTCTAGATTTTACCATTAAAAAATGTTTGTCTATCTATCAAGTTGACTGGTATCAGCATTATATTTAACTCTCACTAATCAAACACGAGAACTTCAATAATTTTATATAATTCTTATCATTTTTGCTTTGAGAACTGCATTTAACTATAACTGAATTTGAATTTTATACTAAGAGAGTTAATTTTAATTTCAATTTATTTATTGGTTTTTAATATATAAGAGTTGATTTTAACTCTCATTTTATTAGATATTATGTAGTCTCAACTCAGCCTAGTCTTTCACGTTTTTGTTACCAGATATTTATTTCACATATTATACGATACTTTTTTCTTTCTCTTTGCTACTATTCAACTATTTTTGTTATATTTAGTTTTACCAGCAAATTATTGTACTTAAATTAATGCCTGTCATGGTGTGATAAAATAAAATAAGTAAATAAGTATTTGAATTAAAGATAAAAAACAGACAAATATATGAGTATTAAATTTAATTCTCAAAGCGTCTGGAACAATTTCATTCTAAATGGCTTGCCAGTCAACTTGTTAAACATATTATCCACAAATATTCAACATAGAATTACTAATAATAAGTAAGGCATTTTTTTAAAATAAACCAACTATTGATGATTCTTAAGATAATATTAATATTTTAAAGATAGTATTTCTGTTTGCACAATAATTATACACAGCTATAGTATTGTATATTTTTTATTAGATTATTAAATAATAGAGAAAATCCATGTCATCAGTTATTTGCTGAATTTTTAGGATCCATCTTCAGTTTGATTCTTAGTTTATCTATTGTGAATTTATTTATTTTATATTCTCTAAATAATATTTAATAGTGATAAAAAATAGATGTAAAATTAAGATTTTATTATCTTTAAACTTATTTAAGATTAAAAAAAAAACTTAATTAATCTCCATGATAGTCATTATGTGTACATTTTTTTTCTGTTAAAACTTGTTTTTTAAACTTATTATATTCTTATAAAAGATAAACAGTTTTACTTTTAGACTTGTTCAATGGTTAATTTGTTAAATGTTAATTTAATATATAAATTATTTTTTTTTTTAATTAAATATGCTTGGTACCTTACCTAGAAATACATTGCTTTTCTTATAAATTTAGATAAAATTTTGCATAACGATTGAACTTTTCTGATTCATTGCTTTTGTGTTTTATAACGTTGATCTGGTTTGATTTTTATGATATATGAATAATAGAACCATGATTAGAATACTCTTGAAATATAACAAATAATATTACACAATATAACAATATTGTCTAATTTATTTTAAATAGCTAATATATTTCTTATTAATTTACAGATCGATCTTATTTACGAATAACTGAACAAGAATTTGATGGATTACCATTTGATGTGAGTTATTATTATAAACTCATAATTTTTATTAAATTATTATATTTTGACACATTGGTCATTCATTACTTATGAACTTTTGTTTTTTCTAAATTGTTTGATTTCAGATATTTGTGCAAGGTGTTGTCAGCCTTTTTATGTCAATGTATGGAATATTGTACTTAGCAGGAGAGTTCAAAGAAGTGAGAGCAATTGAAGAACTAGAATGTAAGACATGGGAGACATTACACAATACACCTTCATTTTATATATTTAATCATAGAGGTAAAGCTCTATCATCTAATAAGTCTTAAATAAGTCCAGACACTTGATGACACTTTTTATAAAAAGTTAACTGAACACGAAACTATGAATTAGCATAACTGTTTGATAAATTAATTATGACAATGGCGGTTCTAGCATATGGGCAGGGTGAGCAGCTGCCCATACTAAAATTTCTGGTGCCCCTCATTTTAAAAATATAATTTTTATACAAAAATAAGATGTTTTATTATTTGATAAATTATAATGATAATTTACAATTATATTACTATCATTATACCGATGACTAACTTACTAATATATTATATGTGATAATGTCGCTGCAGAGAGGAGCAACAAAACACAGGAATGCACCTTATGCATTTTGCGTATGCACGTAATTTATTCAACACTATCATAATGTTAGGCTATATGGCTATATCAATATATCATATCAATCACTATAATATTATTATAATAATATGAGTTATTCCCTGTCTGGAGGATATATTCACATTTATTGTTCGATTCATACTCTTTTAACCAGCTATTAAATTCTATATTTGAATGAATTGTATATTATTAAAAATGATTAAAAGCATATTTTTACTAACTAAACCATTATATATACCAGAGACATTTGAAAAGTTAATAATTTTTTTTCAATACACATCCCATGATGATCATTTAAATGATTAATAAATAAAACTTTTTTAGAAAATATTAGCTTAAGACAAGTAATACATTAAGATGATTTTTGTTTTACTTTATTTATTATATCATAATTATTTTTCAAATGCCTTTTAAGTGTGAACTTAGTAAAAAATTAACTTTTGCAAATATCACAATTAAATTCCATTCTTTATTGTATTTAAAATAATTAAAAAGAAGTGTTGTAAATACATGGATTTTATATGCACGGTGCGGATGGGCATTGTCCGATTTCACTGAGTCCTCTATAATTAGAAATTGTGGGCACACATCCTGCAAAGATGTGTGCAATATTACTAATGTGTGATAATACGTTGACGCATGATGCCACGTAGGGCAATTAAGACCATGGTCACACGTACTACCACCAGAACGAGGACAACTTTCTGTACATCCTATTACTGTTTGGTATATAAGTCAGAAGACGTAAAGACTTCTTCACTTGTATTCCGATACACACAATGTGCAAGTCGCCGGCAAGTCCTTAGTCTTCATTTACTCTCTATGTTAAAATATATGTATGTACTGTAATTGTGTAAATTAAATAACTTTACTTATACATCTGGACTCTTATTTAATCAACCTTTAAACAACCACCTCCACATATGTATTGACAAGTTACCCGGTTCACAGGGAACATATTTTGGTGCCGAAACCAGGGATCTCTACAGTCGTCAAACGTCAACTACAGAGGTCTCTTCTCCATTCACGAAGACAGCAGTCTACGTTGAGCAACACTCGAAGTGAACCAGTCCACAAGTCAACCATCTACGAAGGAGCGTTTTTTTTTCTTTTCGAATGACCAGCAGATTGTAAGCATTTTTAATTTTACTAATACATGTCTGATACGCGTCGTAGTAGTTTAAATACAAACAGCTATTCGTAAGATAATAGTAGGTACCATTCCTGATAAAATGTCTGTAGCCAGTATGACGACCATGGGTGGTAATAGTGAAAGAGAGGTGTCCCCTGGAATGTTGAATACAACTAGTACTAAAGATAAGACCGTAGACCGAGTAGTAAAATTAATACCCGAATTTAGTGGAGGTGTGAATGAGGACTTAGTATTTTTTACCTATGCTTGTGATTTAGTTGCGGAAATAACTCCAGAAACAGATATTGACATTATGTTGAGGACAATCGTAACTAAGCTAAGAGGTCAGGCATATGAGGTAATAAAATATGAGACTATAAGTAGTCTAAAAGCATTAAAGGAATTATTGAAGAATCCTTATGAGAAACCTAAGAATGTAGCGCATTTGCAGATAGAGCTATATAGTGCGAAACAAAATTACAAAGAGTCTGTGATAGAATATGTGAACACATTACGTAACTTACTAAAATAAGTTTCTGAAGGAAATACCCAAGAAAAAAGTAAGAATGACGCACTAGTAACTAGCAATAATTTAAGGGAGCAAGCGTTAAATATATTTTTAGAGGGTGTTTCTAAATACATTAAAGTTATGGTTAAAAGTAAAAATCCTAAAACTTTAGAAGAGACAGTACAGATTGCTTTGGCAGAAAAAAATAATTTAACACAACATAACACTAATATTAATAACTTTGATAAAGAAAAAGATAGGACTAAAAATAGATCCGCTCAATATTATAATAAGGGTACGTGTCATACGTGTGGAAAGTATGGACACTATGCCAGGGATTTCCGAAGTAAAAAAGATAAAAACACTGATAGTAAAAATACTAATAAACCAATTGTTAGAACTTTTGTAATATGCGCCTTGTACTCTAAAAATGGGCATACGGAAGCCCAGTGTAGTGATCTCTCACTACACAGCACTCATAAAATTATATGACGTAGCCACGTTGTCTTCTGTACGGCCGTTGTTCAAGGTTAGATGGCGAGTAAATCGTTGAAATAAAGTTAAGTCACTTTTTAATAAACTGAACACTAATATATTTTAAGTAAATAATAAGTTAAGTATAAATTTGAGGATAGAGTGTTAAACTCTACCCGAGAAGTTAGTCGCACTTAAAATTACGGGGATTGGACTCAGAGGCTCGCGGCGATGTTACTTTGGTAGGCAACGACGAGTATAAGTCCGTACACGTTAGAAGTTAACTTCTGACTTCTTCTAAATATTGTATGGAGCTCTACCCGTATATATAGTCACCTGGCGACCTAGGGCATTGTTTTACAAGGCGTTGGTTCGACGTGTTCCAACTTTTAACTAATGTCCTAGGTACGTGTTAATAGGTCTTGCAAACGTGACAAAAAATGAAGGGAAGCAATAGGTAGAAGTGTAATGTTAGGAGTTTAATGTATAAATTAATATTATGTCGAATTTCTATATATCTTAGTATGCACTCCGCATGTAGGTTTATTACATACCTCCCCTATAAAAGGAAAGCCCCCGGATAGTTAAAAATCCATTTTGAGCTTTGGATATATGAGTCGATTTTCTTCATCAATTTCTAGGATTGTTGGAGTGTCCTTGATTACTGTTGTGGGTTGTAAAGAGATTTCTTCCTCTGGTTTTGCTTTTTCCGAGTTTCTTCTTTCTCGTTCTCTCAATGTGATATTAATCTTTATTGTAATAAAAATTATGCTCCCAATTAATAATAGAGCTATTACTGAGTATAGCAAGTAATCACTTTGTGTTTGTCTCTGTGTTATTTGTTGTATTTTCTCATTATCTTGGATTTTTTGTGTTAGCTCCCTTAATGGCTTGGCTATGTCATTTAGATCTTCCATTTGGTTACCTCGAATTTGTTTGTGTTGCGTGTTATCGTCAAATTGGTTATTAAGTAGGGTGTCAATGTTCTTTATCTTTGAGTCTGGAATAAAATCTAGATATTCTTCTTGATAGTTTATTTCTCCAGGTATTAAAACGTCTCACGTGGCATATGCTTTACATGTTTCGTTTAATGTAAACAGTCCTACTCCTTCTAGTAGATGGTTTATAGATTGTTTGTCATTATCACATGTTATAAAAACTGTTTCACCAATCGATGTATAAAGCCATTGATTTTTGTACTTGAGTTTATGAAAGATAGACGTCCGAATTTTGATTTGCATTATTTCGCAGTTATCTGGAACTTCTCTTGGATCTTGTATCGGTAATATTTCGCAAATGGGTTTAGTGCTCCTAGGATGTAAAGGACTAATTTCAGGACAAAGTAGGAAATCACGTGCATTTTTACATTTCACTTGATCAAATTCGCTATATGTGGAGTAGAGTTCCTTTGATTTACTTACAGCTAAAAATTTGTGGTTAGTTTTTGTATAAATACAATAATTGTATTATGTTAATACAATTATGCCAATATTATGTCGAATTTCTATATATCTTAGTATGCACTCCGCATGTAGGTTTACTACACCAGTGTTATAAAAAGAAAAATCTAGAAAAAAGGAAACAAAAGGAGGAAAATAATTCGGGAAACGAGACACGACCACAAGAATAGAAAACCCTTGTGTGGTCGGCGATCTTAGGGTCATACATAGTGTAATGCAAGTAACCGTAGAATTAGAAGACTATCATATTGAATGTGAGTCTTCTAGTTTTATTAATAATAAGGCCGAATTTCTAGTAGACACCGGTAGTAGAGTTAATGTTGTTCGTTTGGCAGAGTTAAAAGATAACGTAAAATTAATACCCGGTAATTAAATATATTTTAAGGGAATAAATAATACATTAACAGAAACATTATGTATAGTAGAAATTCCATTAGTAGTGAATAATACTTGTTAATTACTAAGCTATTGCTCAATATGGAACAATGGGACCATTCTTTAAATAAAAATAATATAAATAATGTTGGTAGTGGACTGTATAATTGAAAACGAATATAAAAATCACAGCAATTGGTATAAATACATAAAAAAAATAAATCACAAATGTAGCCTGTTTGGCTGAACATAAAAAAGAAACAAAATGGTAACAAATAAAAATAAAAGATATAAAGGTTTATAAATGTGTAAAAAATAGGAACAATAATGTAGTAAATGCCTTTGTCAGCCAATGCAATAAATATAAATCAAATAATACAATAATGTGGTAGGTGCCTATGTCGGCCAATGTAAAAAAAAACAATATAAATAAATTATGCCTAGGGGAACATGGGGCAAAGTGGGGACGCTAATGTCAGTAAGCCTGTAATTTGCTTAAAAATCAATTTTTTCCTTTCAAATTTTGTATACTTAATCCATAGGTTATGGTTATTGACTAGGCATTTATTATGAAAATAAAAATTTTTTTTTTTTGAAGCTTAAAAGGATGTTAAAAAATTTACAGTTTACCCCACTTTTCCCCATACGTGGGGCAAAGTGGGGACATAAACAAAAATCATTTAAATTATAATATTTTAATAAATTTTCCAAACAAAACAAATTATTTATAAAAAAAATACAAATTGTAACTTTTTGAATGCAATAAAATTTAAAAACGATTTTAGGAACAAAATTC